TTATATGTGTAATTGTAACTTCGTTTACCTCAGAATGCAACAACTATCAATATACAATAGCTTTATATAGAGATATCTCCGAACATACATCAAAAATTAGTATGCAAATTAACGTATATTTTTACCAACTTGATAGTCCTCTGTACCATTGTACTCATGAATAACAATTAGTTATATCAAATATGTTTTATATACATTTGTGTGTTCATTACCGTAGAATTACACGGGTGTAATACGAAAACAAAAAACACTAGCGTTCGCCCGCGACTTCGTCCGCGTGGAACTAATAAAAACATTGTAAAATATGGCCTATGTTACTCACAGATGAATTACCTTTCTAACGGTGAAAGAATTTTTAAAATCGGTCCAATAGATTTTTAGCCTATTCATTACACTCAAACAAAGTTTTCCTCTTTATAATATACTAGCTGTTCCCGTGCGGTTTCGTCCGCATGAAATTATGAAAATTTTATTTCATTGTTTACATTTGTCAAATTATCAATAGCAAATGTCAAACTGACATGACATGACAAACTTTGGCTATCTTGTTTCCTTAATGTTGGCAGCAATTAGCTCTTTCCCACACAAGGGAGTTTATTGGCGTGAAAATATATAGCCTAAAGCATGACGCAAGTGAAGAGCTTTTTATTAAAAAATGAATTATTCAAAAATATGCTGTAATTGCTAACATCTTAGGCAACAAAGAAGTGTGTATTTACGCTTTATTATAATAGTATAGAAGTGTAGTGATATGGATGATTTGATGTCCATTTTTCCCAACACAATGTAAAAGAGTTAATAAAATATGTCTGACCGTTATGGTTGTGGAAAGCCACACTCACGATGTTTTTAGTATTTACTTCCACATGTTCACAATTTCCACGTGTCTGTTGACTCAAGGTTAATCTGCATTGTAGCTCAATCATAGTAGAATCGAAAGATATAAATGAAATTAGTTACATATAACTTAGTTCACTGCATTTGTAGCTTGGTTAATTATTTAAATTTTTATTTATTAAGAACAAAAGGCCAACTGAAAATCTTTCTGGGAATACTTTATCGTATGGCGATACATCTGAAGGTAGGACTAGGGGCAAATTTTCCCCGCCTACTCCCATGGTACTTAAAAATACAAATAACTAAAAGATTACATTAACTGTGTTTTATTTATAATTAAAAAGAAACTATTGAGTTAAAAATATGTTTATTAAATGTTAACAGAAACGGATCACATTAGTACAAAGAGCGAAAATAATCAGCATTGTTGTCGCCGCTACAGCCGCTTAATTCAACCGCTCAATTCAAATCTGAAACAGCAAAATTAAAGTTTGTTAATATCCCCGAACACCCAACTTAATTGGCATAACGTTGAAATTATTTAAGAATGCATAGAATACAACAAAGTTTTTTTTATTGCCTGCCACTTTTTACAATATCACCCTATACATTTTTCTCCTATCTTTATAACCACCTAAATTAAATTTCTCCACATAGTACATTTAACCATAATACACATACTTTTAATAAATATGTGTATTATACCCCCACGAGTCAGTCGTTTTAGTGCATTTAATTTAAACGATAGTTAGTTGTTTCCATTACTCCAAATACATAATAAATTCGCTCAGTTACAGACTTATATGGAATTACTTTCGTGTACTTACATTACACTTCTGTCTACATTGTTGTAAGGCAGTTGGACGAGGCAGTGAATTTGAATTAAGCATACAATTATTTACGCACGACAATTGTTGAGGTACTGGTGTAGGAGCAATGAAAAAATGTACATTGATTACAAAATGATTACAAAGTAAATCCTACTTTTTAAATTTATAATGTACATATGAATTATTACAATTTTAAGGCTTTACAATAAAAACCTTATAATTACATATCAGGATCAATACGCCAACCCTTTTATATCGCGACTCTATTGGCTATTGAAATATGTATCTACAGGCTTGCGAAAAGCAATCTTGATGAATAAAACTTCATACTACGTATGTACTCTATGTATACTTATAATTAGAATGGTAAAGTTTAGGTGAACACATCACACATCCATCTAATGTTAGTTACCACGCAACTTTAAAATTGCTAAATTGGATTGGATGAATATATAGATGTTCTACTACTTTAGATATATAAGTATAGTATTACAGAACACATTTAGTAATTAACAAAAAATACTTATTTCAAAGCATTGCTATATATTTATGGTAAAACATATAGCCATGTTTATAAAGAGTTAAAACAAATGTTCAATTCATTGTTATTTTTAGAGTAATGCAGTTTATTCCTACCCTTCCGGCATGGTGACGCCGTCTGGTACTTCTATTGTTGGTTGGCTTCCGGCACTCATAGATACAATTATCAGCCCCGCTGTCAAACACAAAAACAGTATTAAAACTATTATTGCATTTAGTAAAATGAATGACCATTTTCATCAAACATCGCATAAAATAGTTTACTTCGTTCATAATTTTGCTTTGAATTTAGTAAGACTTATTACGCCTAAGATAAATTAAGGGGTTGGTTGTTAAAAATGGTCTTAAGTCAATATTTATGACTGTCTAATGGAATTAAATTACAATCAATATAGTTAGCAACGAGAGATATAAATTGGAATGGATGTTAGTGACAACTAAACTATCATCTTACTCACCAAAAACAACAAAAGTCAATTGTTTGAACATGTTGTTGGATGTTGTTGTATGTAAGTATGTATTAAGTTGCCGTTTATCATAAGAATGATTCTGTCAGCGTAACAACCATAGCCTTATATAGACAGAAGTTAGCTAAGCTAATCATAGTCGAGGTTCTTCTAACGTCCGTGAAACGAGTGTGATAATTAGCGTAAATTCTCTTTATCAAAGGATAGTTTTCCATATCATGTATTCATTGTATTCGTGAATAACATTTACTTACATCTAATATTTATTCAAGAAGACAAAATGAATAATCTGTGCGTGTGCTCTATATAATTTGTATAACGCACGAACAATAATCTGTACCGAAACATGGTACAGTAAGTGTGGTAGAGCCCGCTTTAACACCTCCGCACTGTAGGGCTGGCTCGCCAGGTGAAATACTACAACCACATAGAAAACAGGCGTGAAGTGGAAGCAATTCCGCGTTTTGTCTGATGAGTGTGGTTCCGGAGGCCCATTTTTAGTCTATTTCCCTTTTTACCCTTTTTTAAGGGATGGGAAGGAAAAGTACATTTAACGGTGAACTATTCCATATCATTTTATTGTTAATATACATTCAAGGAGACAATATGAATAGCTTATATGTATTTGTGTTCTACGTAATATGACAAGAACACACGCGGACAGACTATAGTTAATTTGTTTTCTGGAACACCGAACATCAGTAATCAATCATCTCATTGTTTTTCAAAAGGGATGCTGGCGCCAAGTGTAGTCTTGGCATCAATGTTTTGTAGCACAGTCAATTGTCAATTTTTCCCTTGTATACCTTTTTTCCTGGTCAGGCTTTAATTGGGCTTCTAGATTACTGCAATACGACTGTGTTGCATACTGATGTCCAGTTGAGAAAATGTATTGTTTTTTTTTTATAAAAGTACCGCAGTTAAAAATTTAAATTTAACAATTGAAAAGTACAAATTCGGAATATATGCTTTAATAATGTAGGTATATCTATGTACAATCATCATCGTCATCACCAGCTCATTATAAGTCCCCACCGAGAGGCTCGGAGCCTGCCCTAAGTAAGGGTGACTAGGCCATAGTCAACCACGCTGGCCAAGTGCGGGTTGGTTGACTTCACAAATATCTTTGAATTTCTTCGCCGATATGTGCAGGTTTCCTCACGATGTTTTCCATCACCGTAAGAACGTCGGGTAAATTATGTAAATATGAAAATTAGAAAAATCGAAAATCACATTCGTACATGGCGGGATTCGAACCCAAGACCTGTAGATTACAAATTAAGTGCTTATAAACCACTGATTTTTACTAGCTTTCGACCGCGACTTCAACCACAGATTTAAAAAAAAAGGGAAGTAGGCCATAAGTTGTTTTAGACTATGTTCTATATCTGTGCCAAATTTCATTACTACCCTTTCAGCAATTTAGGCTACATCACTAACAAACATCCATACACCCAAACTTTCGCATTTATAATATTGGAAAGATATTTCACATTTATAATATAGGAACATATTTAATAGTGCTTTTTCACATTTTATTTCATTCTAACTCGTTATTAAAAACGATTTTTTAAATCTATACGATTGCAAATTTTATAAACGCATTTTAAATACCCTTTCAATACAATTTGACTTTTTTTAACAAGCACATGTTTTTGTTTTAAAAATGTATTCAACATGTATTCTATACTAGTATTTTATAAGAGGAAAGATTTGTGTTTTAGTATGTATTAAAATAATTCAATTATAATCGGCCGATTTCAAAAATTCTTTCATCATTGAAATGCTTTGTTATCAGTTTAACTTATGTTATATTTTTTAAAAATTAACGGTGACGAAGTCGCGAGCAACAGTACTAGTACGTTAAAATGAAAACTTTAGGCATAAAAACGAGAAGTTGTGAACCTTTTTCATTCTTTCGGGAGGTTAATGATTTAGATTCAAAGATTTTTCTGACTCAGATCAGTTGTATAAAAGTGATGGTTCCTTTGAGTAAACTCTCATCTTCGCTACATCGCGTAGTTTTTCTGTATTTTATATACTTACTGTAATATTACCGACTAAATGTTGGTCAGGCATGTTCTTTACTTGACGTATTGTTTATTCAAGTTTAGGGTAACATGTAGCTTCGTAATTTTCTACCATGTTTAAATAAAAATCTTATCTATACATAGCTAAATTCACTCTAACTTAGGCTGGCCTCTAAGTCCCTAAGTCCGAATAGTGAGCTGGTGATGAAATTAAGGATTTTAATTAATGCTGTTTTATTTTTAAGACATTTAGGTTAAAAATGACATTAATGAAACAAATATTTGTATTTAAAGACATTTATTTAAAAAATTAAAACAGGATATTATAAATTGTGCTGGTGCTCGACATGAACCTTTTTGTGCACCCGTTTAGTTTAAATCTGAAACAGAAAAGTAATAAATGTTAGGTAAGATTACAAAAAACATCCATAAAACAAAAATACAAAAACAAAAGCAATTTTATATGATAATGTATAGTATAGCTACTCGTATCTATCTATACTTCTATACTATTATAATAAAGCGTAAACACACACTTCTTTGTTGCCTAAGATGTCAGCAATTACACCATATTTTTGAATAATTGTTTTTTTTTTAATTAAAAGCCCTATACTTACGCCATGCTTTAGGCTATATATTTTTACACTATTAAACATAGGGGTTAAACATTTTGGATAAAAAGTCTAATATGGGAAAGAGACTATAAGTTGCTGCCAACATCAAGGAAGCAAGATTGTCAAGGTTTGTCATGTCATCTCATTTTGACATTAGCTATTGATAATTTGTCAAATTTAAACAATAAAATAAAATTTTCATAATTTCATGCGGATGAAGCCGTACGGGAACAGCTAGTAATATTATTATGACTCACGATTTTACAAAGAGATTAAAAATTTTATAGAATAGGCATAGTGAACACACACGTGAATCATTTTAAATATAATCTCAATAACGCTAAAAAGACGCTTATTATAATTTTGGACATGGGCTAGCGTACTAAACTGGACAACTAGCGTAGTGCTTTTAAAAGAAAGAACCGGTGACAAAATTTTGTTCACTTTATTTAGTCTACATATTTTTAAAATGTCTTTGCTTTTGTATACTTACCTACGTTACATTTCTCTGCACATTGTCGTAAGGCAAGCGAACTGGACAGAGAAGTCGACTTGAGGAGACAATTCGTAAGACATGTAAAATCTTGAGGCATCGGTGTCGTTGGTTGAGTCATTCTGAACAAAAATAACAATATACATATTTTGTAAGTATACATTAGCTGTTAAAAGCCACGGTTAAAAAATACATATTAATTGTAAATTATTTCCTTACCCTTCAGGCATGGTCATACCACCTAGTCCATCTTCGAGGCTAGCTCCAGCGGCGCGGCTGGTACTCGTAGACATAACTATCAGACCAACTGTTAAAAGAAAATATATCAAAAACATCTTAGATACTTAAGAATTTGGACAGTGTTTAAAATATTTTTAGCTAAACCAAACATCAACGCTTTTATACCGTAACTCTGGTGCTTAGAGTGAATTTTTGTCGAAGAATGGCTAATGAAACATGTTATGCGTTTGCTTGCAAAAAAGAATCCACGTGTAGGTCCACAATATCAATCAGCAGCAGTCAATAAGTCTTGTTCCATTACACAGTATCTAATTTTTTTAGGGTAATATAATGTCTGTCAAATTGAAATATACATCACTGCAATAAATTACAAAAGTAGAAAATTTAAGTAATCAAGAGTTGTTATACTATAAGCCTAATTTTAGTCCCTTTTACTGTCCACCCTCTTCTTAATAGACGGCTGAGAAGACGCACAGGAAGGGGAATATCCTGTTTATGTACGCCTCCTCAATGAGTCGATTAAGGGTAGGCGACGCATCTGCAATTGCGGATGTCTATGGGCAGCGGTCGCTTCGCCATTTTGAATTCAGTTGCCCGTTTGCTAGTTCGCCACCTGATAATATAAAAAAATACAATAAATAGAATTTGAGTTACCCGACATGATGAAAGTCATCTGTTTAAACATGATGAAGATACAGGGTAAATAAACGTAAGTAATTATAACTTGCTGCTTGTCACAAGAATGTTTCTAACGATATGACTACCATAGCCTTATATAGACAGAATTTAGGGCTACGCCTGTCAAAGTCGAGGTTATTCTAACGTCCGTGAAATGAGTGTGATAATTACCGTAGTTAATATTTTTTTGTTTACTAAATGGATAGTTTCCTATATCCATTCTTTCTTTGTTCATTCAAGAATAATAAGTTAGTTTAAATATTGATTCAAAAAGACACTATGAACATTTCGACGTATAATGTCTATTTTTAAACAACAGTCGAAACAACGATATACAATCATATATCGATATATCTATTTATTCGAAATGATTAATGAATAAAAAATCTTTAATGTTCCATAAAAATTCATTTTTTTTGGACTCTGTCACCTGTGGTAGAAAACCTGTATTACAGGAGGTAGGGCTATCTTTAGGTATGAAGTATTTTTTTTGTATGTAATCTTACTAGTAATACTAAAACCAAAGTTTAGATGGATGGATGGATGTTTGTTTTCAATGAAATTTGGCATAGATGTTAGGATAGTCTGGAAGAACACATAGGCTTTTTTATTCGTATTTATTCGTTATCGTATTTATTTTTATTTATTAAAAGCTAGCGTACAATGTACATTAGAATTTACAATAATCTCTAAAATGAGTGAACGACTGCGACTGCATCATGTCTTCCATCAGGTGGGAGTGTGGTCAAGCGCTAGCTTAACGAACATAAAAAACTAATTTAATATACATTTTATTGCATTTATATGTGTGTGTGTATACATATATATTTGTACTTAATTTGTTTCACACGTTATTTACATATCTATACTAATGTTATAAAGGGGAAAGATTTGGATTTTTTATATGTATTCGATTCATATAAGCACTACAGGGCTAATTTTAAAAATTCGTTCACCGTTAGAATGCTAGTTTATATGTTAGTTTTTAGTAACATAGGCTATATTTTTTAATTTTACGCGGAAGAAGTCGCAAGCAACAGTTTAGTTTATGTACCTAATAACATATTTCAACAGTACTCCTTGAGCCATGTCTAGATTAACAATCCTTGATGTAGGTACGCTGCCTCAAGCGTTTTCAGAGTAAACAACCTTAAAACCAACGTAGATAACGTAGCTATTACCATTGTCTATGACCTTAAATTTAATTATTTGTTAAACTGGCTCTTTATCTTAAATTAAACAAAATTATTTTTTTACAAACATCTTCTTTTTTGTTTTTAAAATAGTGCGAATATGCCATAGCATATCCTATAGGATATGCGTACATTTGTAGTAGTTTTTAAGTTATTTTAAACATAGGAAAATACAAAACTTTGCTCTTTAAAATATCAGTACAGATATAGAAAACAAAGTTTATCGTCACCGCAATCGTACTTGTAACTAATACTATAAGTGCCAAAGTTGAGATGAATGGATCGATGTTTGTAAGAGTTTCCTATTATTTATATTTTTAAAAGTAGATTGTATTACAACTCTTTTGTTAGATGGTTTTTATAACAACTAAAATAGTTACATAATTAAAATGCCTGACTGAAGTTAAGAGCGTCGGTGGTTCGAAAGTTTAAGCACTTAGCTTGTATTCTACAAGTTTTGGGTTCGAATCCCGCTATGTAGCAATGTGATTTTCGATTAATACATACTATGTAAAGTTACTCGACGTTCTTACACGTTAAGGAAAACAACGTGATGCAACCTGCACACATCAGTGAAGAAATCAGATACCTATGTGTGAAGTCAAACTGCACTGCGCTAGCGTGGTTGACAAAGATCTAGTCACCCTAACTTAGGGAAGGCTCCGAGCCCCTCAGTGGGATCGAATAGTGGGCTGGTGATGATGAATTAAAATACAAATTCGTCAAATCGAGTAGAATATACAAGAAAAGTTGAAATGTTTTACATTCCTGCAAACATATTTATTCCGCTAATAAACATTTTATTTAAAAAAACGGACTTGTACAGTACTTATTTTATTTAATAATGTAATGTGAGATAGTAAATTATTATTAATATTCTATGTCCGTGGACAAGGCGCTGTTCTCTGTAGGCTGATATCTGAAACATAAATGAAACAAGTTATTAGAAAACGTTTAACTTAATATTTTTATCGTTTGAACACCTTTAGAAAAACATATATCATTGTATAGGCTATGAATATAAAAACTCTGCCAATTGCGGATAAATATGAAACTCCTTTGTACTTATTAGATAGTGATACATGTATAGACATACAAGGATATAATTCTAGATCAGCGTCTCAAAACTAGCACAGAAAAACCTTAACAATTCAACACAGCATCTACAGTACGAAAAGGACCTCATGTCATTGATATTAACATGATCCCGCTACAGAGCTGTCATAATTTATTTCGACTTACGCCGATCGGATCAGATATCCTTATCGGTCTATGAAAAGGCGATTGAAGCGTCAAGCCAGGATTGTTCCATTCTTTGTATGCTTTAAAAATGTTACAGCAATTAAAACAGTATTAATACTTTACTATGTTCGGAAGGATTTTTAGACCATTATTTTAAGACTTAGTTAATTGTTAATTATTTGATACCTCATCCCATCCGAGATATAGGTAATCATAGGAACTCCGTAATTAAACCACGCAACCCTATCGAGTTTGGGCTCGATTAATTCGTCTCGACGAGTACTTTGATACTATATGGTAACAAGGGTCTGATGATGGAGCTGCGAGGTAACCATAGGAACTCCGTAATTAAACCACGCAACCCCATACATTTGACACTTTAGCAATTTTTAACAAATAATAGTGTACTTATTATTACTCGAGAACTCCACGATTTCCCCAATTTGTCTGTTTATGTGGGCACAAAATGCAATTTTTTACTGACTCACATATTTATTAATTGCCATGATAGAGGAGTGTTACAACCTATTTATTTGTTTTTGTGTTTAACTTCGCGAAGTAATCGTGATCATTACACGACTAAATTATATTTGTCAATTATTAAACCATGTTCAGTGTTCATATAATAGTTTACATGTCGTATTTTAATTATTATACGGTTACTCACTTTCGCCACAAGCTTGCGCACAAAGCAGTCTTCCAGGGTTGGAGTAGGTGACTCCGTTAGAACCACAAACAGGATTATACTCCGCAGTTACCGGACAAGTCAGTAAACACTGTTGCATGTCTACATTTTGTCTGAAAAAAACCGGAATGTAAGGTCAAAGCGAGTCGGACATTATTCTTAGCATCAATGCTATAAATATGCAAATTTGAACAAGAACAGGATCATAATACTGGCTTAACTAGTTTTTTTTTTTTAATAAATGAAACATGTTTGTTTTTATATCAAAGGCAGGTTTTAAGTTAAAAATATCTATAAAAGCACTCAATTATCGCATGGAATAAATATTAAATATCTACTACCAGTCAGTTAAGACAGCTATGGAAGTTTACATAACATACAAACTACTTTAACTTTTTACATGGCATATTAAACACAATAGAGATTTTAGTGTCTACTGAATAAAATTATATATCACCTGCTGAAATTAAATATTCAATTTTCGAAGACGATAGTAAGAAAGTTTGTTAATTATTTTTAACAGGCGCTAAATTTGACACTATTGTAATTTGCTTGCCTACCCGGATGCTTGAGACGCCGCGGTAGAGGGTGCAGCCGTACTTGAGGCAACAGCTTGCCGCCGTAATCTGGGACTCATGGCCATAGATTCACTGGCCAGGAAGCCTGAAAATTACATGTTAATCTTAATTTAGAATTATAGATCAGAATGTTTTAATGGATGGATGATTGTAACCATGTAAAAGTAACAAATACATTGAAATGTACATGAAATGTAGTATAGTGATAGATTACAGTTGGGAATATTGAACAATTGCTTATAACAAGGTAAAACAGTTTCCTCGAGACATTTTTTATTAACTGAGCAGGAAAGAAAGAAGTAGTGGTCATCAGCTTGTATAGTATAAATATTTACGTGACGGGGACTTAATTTGGTCCGATTCCTTCCTATCATTTTTTATAAGAAGACGATCGAAAGGTATTTGGCAGAGGAGACATATAGGTAGGGGAAAACCTTGTGCCCAACGCATTTGCGAATATGGATATCTATAGAAAGCGGTCACTTCGCTTTTAAGGCGAATCCAAGTGGCTGTTCGCTCATTTGCCACCGTATGGTCTTACTAATATTATAAATGCGAAAGTTTAGATGGATAGATGAGTCGATGGATTTTTGTTAGAGTTTGTAGCATAAGCTACTGAACTGGTCACCATGATTTGGTATAGATGTAGAGGATAGTCTGGAACACATAGGCTATTAACTTTTTTAATTCCACATGGATGGACTCGCGGGCGAAAGCTAGTATTTACATGTATTACAAAAATCAAAATACTCACCGATAAGGAAAATAGCAAATAGTTTATACATTTTGCTTTATAATATTGAATGTCCGTGCGAGTTGATTATCTCCTCACTACTGAGCTGACCTGACTACAAGGCTGCTTATAAACTGCAATTGTCTCATTCTGCTGACTCGATTATTACGTATTTGATGTTGCCGTATATGCTGTTATTAAATACGTTTTTTCCTGTTATTTTCTGTTACAGGTTCTTTGGACTTGCCCTTTGAAAAAGTCATCAAAACGTTACACGTATTTGGGGAAACATAAAGGAATTTCAGCACTTATAGTAAGGTAATTCCAATAATATGTTTTAAGTAGATACGAAGAAAAATAACCAAACTTCACCACTAACTAATCAGTAACATTTTGGTAATTACAAGTAAAACGAATAGGTATCTAGTTTTAATAAGATTTCATGTCAATGTCAATATTAAATTGAAAATTATCTTGAATCATTAACGGCATATGTATATAATGAACATTTTAAAACTGACCTGCATAGGTCAATTATTACCTTTTCAGAGAATCAACATTATCAAGGTTGATGTAAGGATAAACAGTCGAAGCCTGCCAAAAAAGTCAGTGGCAAAATGTTTAAAGCTTCATATCATAGAATTGATAAGCTAATAAAAAGCTCTTTCTTACTTTTACACATAATTTAGTTAGATAATTTTAATAAATCTAATATAAAAGTGTTAATAGAAGCAAATAACGCATTTGCTTCTTTTTTCTTAGAAATAATCTAACCATAATCTCACCTGATTTTAAATAGTGATGTTGTCGATGCGCGGTAATTTATAAGTGCGTATTTATTCCACTCTTTAGGCTTGAAGGCGCTTACTCTTTACTTGAACAGAAACATTGACGTCGGTAACTTATTCCAATCTTTAGTTGTACACGAAATGAACGAAGATTTAAATAGTTTCGTTCGAATGCGCGAAACACCGATTGCGGAAATGGGGGAATTAACCTGTGCTCACTGATCAAAATGCATTTAGGAAAACAATATAGCGCTGTAGAGGGTCTTGTAGAATCTCTCTATCACATCCAATGCCGTGTATTGGTATTACGCTGTACATTCTCCGATAAGTTTGCAGTTTTCTACACATGGCTAGCTATTAGTATTAAATCAGAAGCTGTCCCGATGTGAAGTCCAGTCGCACCATTAAAAAGACTCCAATCTTCTTTTTATATATGTTTGTCCCGCTCAATCAAAGATCGCGAGGCGTGGGAAGTTACGGTAGATAAGGAGAAGGAAAATGTGATATTTTAGATAGCCGACTATCGCCGGGGTGAACAACTAGTTCACGGCACAAAGGCAGGTTAAGAGTTTATGAGACTTTACGATGTTTTCTATCAAATGATTTGGGCGGCGAAAGTCTGCGAGATCTCGTTACAAATGCAAAGCTGTTATCAACTCGTCCTCCGGAGCGGCAGAGGTTATCACCTCCCCCCCTCCTGCCACTGCCCAAGCCTCAAGCGCACTCTCACTGGTGCAGTGGAGTGCCAACTCTATTGTAATCAACATATCCCAATTAACGAATTACTTAAGCGATCGCATGCCAAATACGTATTAAAAAAATAAAACATTAATTAGTGGTAATCAGTTCTTAGGCCACAATTAAATGGAAATGATAAGCGATAAGATTTTGTTTTTCGTGTTACTTGCTACGGGTAAGTATTTATTTTCATGATTTTATTGTTATTATTAATTTTACTGATATTATAAATGCAAAAGCTTAGATGGATGGATTATTCTAAACATGTATGGATGTTTGTTAGAGTTTGTAGTCTAATTAATAAATTAATAAAAGCACATTTACAATCATTAGTATATTCATACTTTGGACATAATTCCATTTCATTTCTTACATTAACGGCCGAATACTAAAACGACATTTATATAAATAAGTAACAGTGTGGTCAATGATAAGGCCAGACTTAAAATTCAAATTGCATTAAAATGTTGATGTCTGACAAAGTGTAACGTAAACGACGCTCAAGATTCGTTCCTGTATTCGGCCATAAGTCTTGATTAACTTCATGATGTAGTTACTAGACTCAATGTTACCGGATTTATTAAAAATCATAGATTTCACGGAAGTAACATTTATATTAATACATACTGTAGTCTCTATTTTGTCAAAGATAATAAAAGAGATGACAATAAGTATTAATACAATTGTCACGGCAGAATTACTTACGATATTGTGCAATTGGCAAGAAATATTAATACAAGTATGGAAGGAAATATTAATACAAGGAAATACACGGAAGTACACCAATTCTGCGCCAATCACATCGAAGTCACTGCGAGACTGTTTGACGTCTCAGACCTTATCTGTTCTCGCCCTACTCATAAGTGGAACACAACACGCGCTCGGATTTAACGGCAATATTTTATAAACAACACGTCTAAATGGAACTATTTCCACCTTCAATCAATCTATATGATATACGAGTAATAACCTATAACATGTCCGTTCATGTGAGGTTACCCTTCTGTAAAATTAGCGTCAAAATCTGCCCAGCCATTTCGTAGATTACGCGGCTCAAACGCAGCTTGAGGACAAATAGTCCGAAGCACACAGCTGAAAACATATCTGAAACCATAGCGAAATAAATAAAAAACATTTAAAGGTAGCAAACTTTGCGTTATCTAGCTACTAATACTATCATAAATATAGTGCCAACCAAATATCGTATCAAAATCGTTTTCGGTTCGCTTTCGTATTTGTGTGCTAAAAAGTTTATGACAGTGAGGACACGTCGACGTACGCGTCAAAGAGGCCGCCGCAGCTATGTCAGATCAATGATCTATGGGTTATCTTCGCGTCCGAGCTGAACAACCAATCACACAATGTACTGCTATTACATTAAACTGCCAACTCTAGCCCGCAGCTTCGCACGTGATTATCTCTATTTTGTTCGCAACAATTGTGGTAATTTGATTCTGCGTACCTATAATAATTTTGGTAATAAGTATGTGTCAAAAGGCTCTTATAGTTTGCGTACTTCAACCAACCCGTGGGCCAGCGTGGTTGACTAAGACCTAGTTACCCTAATTTAGGGTAGGCTTCGAGACCCTCGGTGGGGACGTATCACTATACGCTGATGATGGTGAGTTTGGGTACTTCAAATTGATCTCCATCATTCCTAACGTTTCTTCATTCTTATTGTAACTATTCTAGCAAATTAATTTTGATATATCCCTTAATATTTAAGCTACCTCGTTATTTGAATAAATATTATGTAATTTAAACTTTGGGCGTGAGAATTTATTGATATGAGCATATCCTGATGATTCAATTGAGGACGTTCGTTATCTGCGTCCACTTTACTTTCCGGAAACCATTACAAACTATAAATGATATGAAATATTATGGGCATTAAGGATAAATAAGACTGATTAAAACAAGATTTTTATAAAAAATATACAGAAGAGTTGAGTACCTTCTTTTTTTGGGAAGTCGGTCCAAAACTTATAATTTATATGGTAATCTTACTAATATTATAAATACGAAAGTTTAGATGGATGGATGGACGTTGGTTAGAGTTTGTAACATAAATTTCTGAACGGATCTCTATGATAATTGGCATAGATGTAGAGGTTAATCTGAAAGAATACGTAGGTTACTTACTTACCACGCGTACGGTATCGCAGGAGTAAGCTAGTCTACTTTATACATTCATCACGCTTAACCCCAATGGCATACCAGTTGTCCAGGTCAATAATTCTTCTTTATTTTTAGGATTGGATGCTTTTATCTTCTCATATTTTTATAGGTAGCTGGCTGATTTACTAAAGTTAGTGCATGAAATTGCATTCTATTTTTTTCTGACGACAAAAAAGGTGTTTCATTTTATTTTTAATTTAAATAATGGCTAACGTAGATAACGATGACTAAGTACCCTTTGTACCTTTTTAAACTAATATTACTCGTTCTCAGTTTTTTATTTCCCAATAAAAAAATCTAAAATAAATTCGTTACAAATAGTCTTTAGGGCACTGGAACTTTGTATTCAATTTAAATTTCACTATTAAGAGATTATTTTCAACATTTAATATCAACAACCTTAATTAAATTATTATCAACCAGTTTGAACCCTGACCACATCAGAACATCTTTATGATAATTATGTTGTCATCGATATATTTATTGATGACACCATTTGTGTATCTGTGATTTAATTCAATACATATGTTGTTTACAACTGAATTGAAACACGTAATTCGTAGACCAGATCAGGAAAACAGGAGACGTAAGGGTTTAAATAAAAGGTCAAATCAAATGTCATATTGATATTGGGTATTGTTAAAACAATAACGGAATAAAACAACTATTATCGCAACGTTTATGCGCCAATTAAATTGATTATTGATACGTACACATAAACAAAAATCAAATAATTTCTCAGTGATCACTAACTTGTAACATTTTATTAATATTTGTACAATTTACAAATCGTAGCCTACTCAAAATATTTAAAAGCTTATTCAAGGAAATACTTTTATCGTACAATTTGATAAAGTTAAGGATTTCCTTCAAAGATTTTTTAAAAATAATATTATTATACTGGAAGTAAGGGGTGTCCTAGCACTATGTAGGAATGCGTAGTTTGCTTCCTCGTGGTGTGTGGCAGAGAGATTACTATATATAGCTTATTAAAAAACAGTTTATAAAAATGGGAAAAGACCCATTTACTACCCTAATGTTTAGTTAATTGTTAATTTTCATTTTTCAGTGTGGTGTGTAAGTGAAGCTGCTAGCATACCTTTCCTTAAGCCAGCACTCATAGGAGAACAAGAATATGTCACAGAGAAGAGTGCAGAGGTACAAAGCCCAGTGGAGGTGATCTACGGGCGCGTGCGGGAGGGTGTGCCGCCGCCACTGTGCGCGGGGCGCTGCGCCTCGCCACCCGCCGGCCCTGTGTGTGCCTTCGACGCGGCCGGCACTGCGCGAACTTTCGCTACCCTATGCGAATTGGAGGCTGTATCTTGTCGCGAAAGTACATGTAAGTACGGAGTACTGACAATAATTTCTATTTAATTGCCTACGATTAATAAGTAGTACTGGGTGCAATGTAAAGGAAAAAAAATTGAAGGAAAGATCATAAAATTAATAAAGAAGTACTGTTTTTCTTGTCACCCGCAGAGTATCATGGTACTAATCTGCCCACTTGTTTGGGCTGTGCGATGGTATTGATTAATAAGTCAGTTTGTACAATAAAACTAATATAGCACTGTAATTTGTATGTTTAGAAATAGCTAACAGTACTCGTATCTGCTAAGTATAGTAATAAATCCTTCAGAGATAACTCATTCCGAAAATACCGTCTAATTAATGTTAAATTATAAATAGCTTGTAACTTCGATAACATACTATTAATAGCTCTTTCCTCGTTTATCCTAGTTACATAAATACATTTCTTAGCGATAACAGGAACACAAATTATGCTTTACTAAAGTTATTGTGTGGTCATACTATTGTCTCTTTCGAATCAATTACTAATAATGTATTGAAAAATGACGATAGTTAATTTATTATTAGTGGAATGTACAAGTATTTAAGACTAACAAGTTTTATGTAAATCGAACAACATTTGATATATTGATAAGTTAAAAGTTTAACATCTTTGTGATTTATGGCCAAAAACAAATACCAATTAGCAATTTGGTATTCAAAGAAATAATAACTGTACTAGTGGTCGCCTATTAGCCTAACATTTTTTAACTAGTTTTGATTAAAATAGCAAACACTTTTATTAGATAATTTATAAAGCATAGGCTACAACAAATCAGATTTATTGTGAAACAACTTAAGACGGCATTTCATACTTGAGTGGACATTGTCCTTTCGTTCGCGCAATTTCCTTGAAAAGGACTATGAAGTTTCCGTACCACATATTGATATAAAAATTTGTTTATTTACAGATTACGCTATCACCAGTCTCGGGGAATGTTAAGAAAAACTTACACATCATCATCATCATCTCCCCTGCCTTATCCTACTCCCGTAGGGTTTCGTTTCGTGCTCCAAAGCACTGTATCATCCGTCATCTCAGCCATCACTCCCAAATAAAATAATCATTCATCTATTCTTATTGCGAAAACAACCGCCTTCATAAAAATAATAAATCTTGTCAAAATTAAAGTTTATTCAAAAAAAACTAAGAGAATAAAACAGTAAATTCTTAAGTATCTAGTTTTTAAAAGCCTCATTACGTCTTTTTTTAACTGCAGTTTTTATGTAAAACCAATAAATTTTTATTTTGTTTATCTAATAAGTGGTTAACCTTTACTTAATTGAGTTTCATTTGATTTTACGTAGAAGGAAGAGATATTTTGGGATATGTTGAATAGTTTTCGTCAAAAATACTTTGAATAATATAAAACGATATTTAGCTTGAATAAAACCGTATGGTTGGTTATAAATATTGTTGGAAATTTAATATTTACCAGTAGTATTAAGAAATAATTAGTATAGATTAAACATTATTTATTGTACAAAGTACACTTCCAATTTATTCACTTGATAAAACATATTTTGTTTTAACATTATGTTTAGAATCTTTCCTAATAAATTTCAATAAATACTCTTTGATTTTTTTATTTCATGCCACCCTTTTCTATTTGCGCAGCTATTTTTTTATAAATAATAAAATGAATTTATTTTATTTAGTATCAGTGTTAAATAACTCATAGATATCAAACCAGAAGCAAATATAAATTGAAATTATCAAAACCTAGAACAAACTGTGGTCAAAACACTATAACATTTGCGGGAGTACAGTTATATAACACTTTACCTAAAGTTATCAGAGACGAAAATAAAATGTCGTCATTTAAAATTATATTAAAAAAAATTGTGAAGTAAATAAAATCCTATATAAATGATAATAAACTAGACTACTGATGTAAATTATAAATGTAAAAAAAAAATGTTTCGTTAAGTGAATTGTATATTCTTAGAGAAATAAATATCTTAAACCACAATATAGTGTTTTTAGTTATAATATTCGATACAATTATATACACCACAGTAGTAATCGCATATTCTATACATTGACCGGACAATAATGTTTGGAAAAGAAACATTGACAACAAATGAGCGAAGATTTCCATTGTTATTAATGTCTATTATCAGTAATAAATTATGCGAAAGCAATAATAACAAACACGATGAGTAGTTTTCCAACCCACTATCAATCCAGCGTAATTGAACTCTACTTCCAAACAAGTTCAATTTGTCAAGTTTACGTCAACATAAAATGGAACCGTAATTTCGTACTCAATTTAATCGACATATACATAAGTATAGACTGACAAGGATAAGTCAAACTAAACTATTACACACCACTAGCGCCCTGCTGTAATCAGAATAGTTTAACAAGAACCTTTTTGTAGTTTTAGTTGCTCTCACATCATGCTTTATTATTTCATTGCATTTTCTATGCCTAATTATATTCACAGATCATCAAACAAAACTAACGGATACAACAGCGCCTCTCTTAGCGGCATAAATATATTTGTTTGACGACAATAAACGCACTTTTCAATTTATTTCGTTAAAAAAGCTATAGTGGCGCACAAAAAAATAATTACGGCAGTCGCGTGCATTAAAGATGTTTATTAATCACAACGCCATCTTTTGGTGGACTTCAAGAATAATAGAACAAGAAACAGCAACAGTACGAAAAGCATATTTAGAACTTTTTTGGAAGTTAACATGAGAGCGCTGGTAAGGTTATATTCTTTAATTTGACGTGTGCCCATCGGATCAGATAACTTTGATTATAAATTGTCTCTTTTTTTCCTTGGGTTTCCAAAAGTTTTATTTCTCATAAACATCTTTCATAATTCTACTGGTTTCGTTGAACCTATTTCTGCTATATGTACCAAATTGTAAACCCAAAACTTTATTCCGCACCATCGTACAATGTCACTTTTAGAATCACATTTCCAACATTAAAAATTCAATTGACGTTAGTATAATGTATTATCGTGGGCGCCATACAGTCTGCAGTTGTTTACTCAGCAGATGTCCTACTTGTGGACAAAGTGTTACTGTTTAGAAAATCGTAAACATGGCATGTTTACAACATTAAGTATTAATGATTAAATAACTATTTCGTATCTTACTTCACAAGTAAATGGCCAAGGGTTAATCAACGATAATTGAGGTTTAACTACTGAATATAGATACACTTCATAACACTCAAAATGCTAACAATTTTATAGCTAACAATTGTCCGTCGTTTGTGATCCATCGTTATTTGCTACGGTAGTTAGATTTCAATTAAACAAGTTACAGAACCAGGAAACAAATTAATTCTATCAATAAAGAAAGGTTATTTTAATAAAAGTAAAAAAACGGAATTCAAAAATTTAATCAACAATATTGAGAAAAATAAACATTTATTTGATCAAACAAGTTCCGTGCAATACGCATATTGGAAACTTGTAAGAATATAATAAACATAACATTTTTTATCCCTATGTTACATCACAGATACTTTGATAGAAGCTCTATATAAAAAAGCAATTAGGGTTGTTTAGAGAGCGAAGGTATGCGTTTACAGCTATGATATTAATTGTAACAGAGGTTGTGTTCTTAAGATAAACGGATGCCATCTGACCCAGGGCATTCACCTTTGCTGATCTTATGTAATGCTGAAAAAAAAAAACATTTTATTAGATCCAATTAACAATCAGACCACTAACTACCACTAGACTAGAATAAACACACATTACGAATAGAAGTTTCGCCGTAGGTTTAAATTATTCACCAATAGTTTCTAGCTATATATAGTTCGAATGGGCCGGCACGCCCGGTGTAATACCACGACCACATAGAAGACAGGCATGAAATGGAAGCAATTCCGTGTTTCGTCTGATGAGTGTGGTGACGGGGGCCTAATTTAAGTCCCTTTCTCTTTACCACCCTTTTCTTATAAGGAGAAGATGGGAAGGGGAAGTGGATTTGACGGTGGAGGAGATGCATAGGAAGGGGCAATGTCCTCTTTATGTGCGTCTCCTCCTCCGTCGTATTAGGGTAGGCAACGCATCTGCAATCGCGGTTGTCTATGGGCAGCGGTCGCTTCGCCATTTTGGCGGATTCAGGTGGCCGCTTGCTCGTTTGCCACCTTATGTTATAAAAAAAATAGCTGTTTTTTCAGACAAGAGAAGGGACATAGAAGGAATGTTTCGAACAAGTGTTATTTCAGGAGAAGTTTCGTTAAGTGTCTATCCCACCAATGGCTGATAGAGGCTCAGATACCTTAAAATTGTCGTCATTGTCAGATTAGGTAACAAAATCCTATATATCCATCAAACATTTTTCACGTTGGATTGTTATCAGACAATTTACAATTTGGTGGGACAAGCCCATTCTATTTCATCCTCGCCTTCCTGATATTGTAGATTAATTTTCTGCTTCATAATCAATTGTATTACCATTTAAGTACTAAATCCAATAAGGAAAATATCACATTTTAACAAGATTACAGCTGCATATAAGCATATAACACTGTTTTATGCTAAAATTAAACGAATAGAACTTTACATTGTGTCTATTTCGTACTAACGTGTTATACGAAGTCGAGCGTAGCCGTGACTCAGAATCCGGTCGACTAACAAAGGCAACGCTCACGGTGATTACGTCAATTGTCATGCTCTCCTGGTCACCAACACAATGCGTATGAATTCAAAATGTTAAATTGGAAAATATTACACTGATACGATACACACAGACGCTCTCGTTTTCTGAGATTGGACAATCAAAAAGTTTAACTTGAGAAAAAAATCAAGAAATAGCAATGAAAGTATGGATGAATTTTATGAAAGAGGATATGCTTAAGATGGGTGAGAATTCAGATATGACGGCTAATAGAGAAGTATGAAAGAGCACCACATACTATGCCGAACCTCCGTAAAAGATACAAGAAGTTGATGTCATTGATTAAAAAAAATGATTAGTAAACTCTTCGTCTGGTTTCTAAAGTGTCTAAGGTTGACTATATATGTACGCGTATATTACCCTCAATTTATATCTCGACCGAGAATCAAGAGAGAATCGCCTGGATAAAAACTTGGGCACATATATCTTGATAGAACTGGAATAGTCACGACATCTCTCAATTCATTTATCTCGGCGGGATTACTTTAGAAGTGACAGTCTAGATGTCCTTTTAAGCGCTTCCTGCGTGGGAGTAAATTGAACACTTACCTCTTCAGTTTTAAGAGTTAGTAATTTGACATCTACGCAGTACATTCACACGATGTGATCATAACACGTAAATAGATTGAGAAAAATAAGATTGATTTGAAAAATCAGACAAAATTGTTATGTTGAAAACAATTGTCCATGAACAAAATTTACTAAAGAACATTTCGACTAATGTCTCAACTCGCGAAAATTTCGTGCGTATATGTCAACTTTAAAATCATAAAGAAGAATGTTAACAGGTATAAATATATTATTATAGAAAAGGGCAAATGAATAGCTTAATGTTAATTGATCCGACGCCTACGGACCTAGATCTAGAATCTAGAATATCATTTATGTAATGGAGCGTACACCTTCCGAGCACCCTGTACATCAAATGTATACTGTTACTCACTATCTTTATGCTCGCAGTTGTAGTTGCTCATGACGCACTCGCTGCCAAACGACTTTGGCTTCTCGCCTTGCTTCCCTGCGCAAATGGGCTCGAATTTAACAGAGCTACAGTCATGGGTGCAGGCCTTCTTACGCGCCGCCTCCGCTTTCAGCTGTTTCAGGTCCTGCTTGTCGGGACGACAGGACACCGCCACCACCAGTACCGCTGAAATCAGTTCAATCATTAACATTCCCATAAAAAATATATCCATTACATTTGGAGAAGTATGTTTGACTGTCGCCATTAAGTGCCAACCGGCTATGCCGACCGACCGAAGACTATGCCTTGTTCACATTTAGAGTGATAATGCAAACAAGGTGTACCTTTTTTAACACGTTATCTACTCTCTTATATCCGAAAATCTACCTTAAATTTATCTATCCATAGTTTTATACGAGTCATTCAAAGTTAAATCTTATTTTGTTCCAATTACTTTGGTAATAAACCCAACAAGAACGAGGTCGTGGTTACGTTAGTGACCTTAAAGAGAGATTACCTTGTTAGTGTACACATATCGCTAAGCGCTAGGCGAGATGTAAGTCCTATGTATTCGAATAATACGAGTATTTAACATCTTCATACTTATACTAAGATGTAACGTATATAAATCTCTCTTTAGAATTACAAATAATAAACTGATTTATGGAAAAAGCTATTATGTCTTTTCTTAAATTAACAACAATCAAGGCGACGTATCACTCCATTGGTTTTGTGACGATATCCCAATCTTATTTATCTGAATTTTCCTGTTGGTTGTTTGTTCAAAAGATTAAAAAAAATATAATAATCTGTAATCGTTCCATGTAACGTAATTACGCCTTATAAACCATAAACTTTAAAAATATTGTAAACATAGAAGATTATATGGTACATAACTTAAAGGTTAACGAGTAATATCAAGAAAAAACATGTAAACAATAATACATAAACAGAAAGTAGATAGGTCAATAAACTTAATCACAGCCAGTAAAAGCATTAAAACAACAAAGATGAACTCACCAAAAACAAACAAGGTAAAGTACTTCATTTTTTCCTTTGTCCGCGACACAGACGTGTTACACGTAGCTCTCTCGAACACGACTACTTGATTCCAGAGGCAACGATCTTTTTATATAAGTTCATTGTGAATAAACGCTTGTATGCTCTTAAAAATGTCTAATACTAGTTTTTGACCGCAACTACGTCCGCGTGGGTTTTAAAAAAGAAGTTAGTAGCCTATGTGTTCATCCAAACTATGCAATATCTATACAAAATTTCATCGAGATCCGTTTAGCAGTTTAGGCTATAAACTCTAACAAACATCCATCCATCTAAACTTTCGCATTTATAATATTAGAAAGATTAGTAACAAGTGTACCAACATTGTTATTAATAATGTTATTCTGTTTTTGAAGAAAGTTTTTTTTATCAAGTTCGTAATTTAAATATGTATTCCAAAATAAAAAAACATATTTGACCCAAAGGTCACAATAACATGATAGCAGAGATGTTCACATTAATTTTGTATGCTTTATTTGTTAGTAATATTACTGTTTTATTGGTTTGAGAACATTTAAATATCGAAATAACAAGTTGTTTTGCTAAAAATAAGTACCCTAAAAGGGTAGATTATTTGATATACTATATTAAATTCAAACTACTCTAACATACCAAACAATCTAATTAGAAGGAATTTGCTAATCGCATAATTTAATTATGATAATTGTGTTAAAATTACGAATACTAAAAGTATGCGGTAGATGTTATATACCGGTGAATACCTCTTTTTGCTATAAACAAATGCAAATACCTATGTCAATAGTGCGCATGACTTAATGTACACACGTTAAAATACATTTTCTGGGAATTGCCAAATTAGTCTCAATACGATCGTCATTGTATTGTTATTGAACAACAATTGACGTGAAATGTTCCAAAATACATATTTTTAATGTACATTTCTGGACCAAAAGTACTAAAGAATGATTTGTAAAATTTTAGAATTTACTCTCCATAATCAAACTCTGATATTAGGTATAAAATCTATCGCTAAAATTTTCTAGCAAGTCAGTTTAAGACAGTATGAGAATTTACTTGCTACTAAATTCAATTACCGGCTCCACAAACGGAAATAATAGAATCACATTGAAAAAAAAAACATCGCCATGACATAAGCGTGCCCTGTGAAATTTGAGATATATTTTTTGTCATTTAACTTAATTTAAGAACAAGATGGTTGATCTGATGCCCTAAAATAACATAATATTTTACCCACTACAAATTTGATTTCCAAATTAACTCGAAAAAACTAGCAAATCTAAATATTAAAATACACATTTCTATTTACGAATGACTTATTTAGACAGAAAATCCAAGAAGTAAAATCAAACAAACAGTTTTTTTTTAATAATTTTAATTAGCATGTTTTATACAATATACGTAATAAACATTTGTCACACGTGAATATATAGGAACACTTACGTAATTTAAATGCACACAAAAGTATTACACAGTTATTTGAAAAAAGGTAATGAATAAGCGACTTAATTTTCCTTAGCGTAATCATTGAAGAACATACTCGTATTTTCTAAGATGTTTATGCAACTTCTTCATATCGCTGCAATTCTTACAAAAAAATTTATTAGTAAATATAAAATAATAATAATTATCTCACTTTCTATATCCTTTTTTCACAACGGCTACAATATTGTTGAGGTTATATATTTTTATTTCTTTTTCGTTATTGTTAAGTTATTATGAAAATACAAAATATACACTTAGTTACATTATATTAATAATTATACTATTACAATAAATCTTGATTAATGTTAATAATTGTTTTGTAAATGTTGCTTAATATATTATTTAGATTAGCTTAAAAAATTCGACAACCACCTTATTTTACTTAAATGTATTTATTGACTAGAAATTCAATCAAATGTATTTTGCAAGACCCTTATAAATATAACACGGCAATATAACATTTAAGTAAGTTGGTAAAATAATTTTAAGAGAACAAGATGAAAACCAAGTGATGACCGCTTGAACACCCACGAACATCTCCATAAGCAGAGTTTTGTTGCCAGTTTCTCTCAAATTAGAATAAAACCACAAGCACTTGACACTCCGCTAAGGGAGAGCCATAAACAAGAAATAGAATAGAATCAAGCGATGGCAGCGAAATGGATAAAATCTTCTAGAAAATGTTGAACGATGGATAAAACATTTTTCGTAAGTTAAGATTTTCAAATTCGATATAATTATAAACGTGGTAGACCAGTTTGAATTTCGGGAAATTTATTAAAAAGACATTGTTACTTTTTGACTAGACACTTCTCCCATGTGGCTTTAAGTTAGAGAGTCATTCGATTTGCATTCACCTGTAGATTGTCTTAGTTAGTTAACTAAAGACCAATTATGTCATCACAAATGAACTTCGTTTCATGTACAAATTACGCCCACTAGAGACGCTTAGTGGTGGCAGTTTTAAGCGAACTTTCGAACTGTATAGTAAAACCTTCAGTTAAAAATTAGTCTGTAGCGGGCTTCAATTATCTATAATATTTAGTGCCTGTCCCACCAAATTATATATTGTCTAATAACAATCCAAAGTGTAAAATATGTGATAGAGATATCGGATTTTGTTACCTTATCTGACTGATCTAGTGGTGGGACAGGTCCTTAATTTCAATTTCCAAAGACCAAATAGTATTTTTCGATGTTATTAGATTGATTTAAACCGTATAACACATTGTTTGTCGCTGATTCGTAACCAATTATTCGTTTAATCAGAGTAGAGTCCTTCATACAGGGATCGAGGTAGATGCTCTGCTAACAAGGACTTGAGCTTCTCCCGCGGGGAGACCGGCGTGTAGCGCGCCAGGGGGAAAGTGCGGGTCACGCCGTCGCTTAAGGATCGAGTCACCGCAGTCAGGTCACCGTCCTGCAAAACAAACAGCTTTTAGAAGAGCAAGTTAGACTTCAGCATACAAGCGACAAAACGAATCGAAACTCACATGAACGTTTTGACAGTTTGAGTTTTCAAATTGGACAAGTATTTAACAATCTTCGACAATGTTGTAACTTCTTAAATTCAGTTGGCTTGAAATAAGACAACTGTTTTGATAAATATATTGATTGTAGAAATTCGATATTTACCGCACTCTTAGTATATTTCTCGAGACTACGAAGAGCTTGTTCGAAATAATCTTCGCCGTACGCGCCCTTTTGTTCATCGCTGAGTCTCTTCCACATGTCGCGCGCCTGTTCTAGAAGTTTCTCCTCGTTGAGCCACGCGCTGCCGGTCGTGTACTCGCCCGCCGCCACAACCACCTAGTGACAAATTGATCTTTGAAAATTCTAGAATAATTTGTTTATTTACAAAAACTGACATAACATTAAAATTTTTTTTAGACTTTTAGGGACTTCTTTGTTCACGAGTAGACTGCTGTTGATGACCAATGACAATGTAGAGACATTTTAACTTCTCACTCGCGAATGCTGTTTCTATAAGTACTTCATGTACCATATCCCACCGGCCGAGCAACTGCACGACCACTATTGCTTGTAGAAAATAGAAGGAATAGCAGTCAACCCCGGCTTGACGTGTTACGTGGCCAGTTGTTAAGGGATCTATAATATAAAAATGCAACTTACAACATCAACTCCTCTTGGTTTGAGTTCACGTCGCAGGCAGGCGGCGAGGGCATCAAGTGCGGCCATAGAGGCAGCATGCACGCCGCGCACCGGCGCCGCCACGTGCGTCAAGATGGAGGAGGCGAGCACCACACGGCCGCGCGCGCGCCTCACCAGCGGCAACATCACTTGCACCAGTCGAGCCGGCCCTGCTCCCACAAATACTCCAATAAATATAACGGCGCAAAATGATCGTTATTTTTAGAACGATTAAAGTTACTGGCAATTAATAGTTTTGTGTTGTTTTGTTTTGGGCATGATAGATGTCAGGCGGCGATCGAATGACTGATGACAGTTGACATTGAATTGTGGAATGGTGCCTTTTGTTAGTGATAAAAAAATTGATTAATCTCTAAAAATGTTTGCAATCCGATTAGATCGTGTTATGCAGTTTTGATTTACGATGATGGTCAACTAAGGGCGGTGTTTCTAATGTTACGCGATTGTTATTTTACTTCGAAATACGCACGTCCACAATGAAGGATAGTTACCGTGTTCGGAATTAATTCTGCAAGCCGCTCGTCACTCCGACACACATAAATAACGAGTTAACTCACACGTATTCTGATTAAAGTACCGACTAGTTTCGGACTAATTCAGACTAAGGGTGAGTGGGACGGGTATTAACTACTAAACGGGAATAACGCTAACTAGCAGAATGAATATATTCTGATAGCTTTACTATCTATAGATAGATTGATATGTATAGATACCTATAGTTAGATTGAAATTTAGCAGACAGTCATGAAATTTATTGTGTAACTAGGAGAGCCAAATTGTTTATGGGCAGTAAATCGTGGATGTGACTTTAGACAAAATAGACAAATGTGTTCGGTAAACGTTAGGTTTATTTTCATATTTACTCAGCTGGTTAATATTAAATCGGTGCCAATAAACATTGGATGATAGATTTATTTTAAACTTCCTGCTCTTGAACTTCAAAGTTTATAGCCCAACAAATATTCAATCTACCTTTATTGAAATAGAACTATAAATGTTGGAAGTAAATATCTTTATATAAGATTTATACATTACACAGTACCAATGTCAGTGGTATAAACCCATTGCCATTTGGTTGTTCAATGAAATTATTGTAAATTCATATACAAAAAACCCCATAAATTTTTTTAAGATTAACTCTCTATTATTTATTAATCTTAGATTAAGTATATTTTTTCAAAGAATTCCTCAACTTCTATTTTGTTTGTTGCAATATTTATTACGTTCAAAACATTTTGAAAACCTACTAAGCTTATTTAAAATATTTATTTTTAGTTATAAATTATGCTAATAGCGCCATCTATCGTTAAATGTAACATTGATAGAAAAAATTATCTCTAAAGTTTTAGCAGCTTTCAAAGAGATGTAGTGATTTCTTAAAACGGCAAACCTTATCAAATTAATAATATCATTCATAATCAAAAGCTATACCAAAATAAATATGCTATAAACTATTGCTGGAATCCGCTTTTTGATTTGTAGACATTATATAAATCAAAAGCTATACTACTGCCATCTATATTCACATATAAAAATTAAAACGTGTCGTGTCATATCGTAGCAAAGCGTAGCAGGGTGTAGCATTTGGTAACTTACCTAACAAGTTAACTTCCATTGCTCTACGAATGACTGAGAAAGGTACCCATTCTAGTTCACCTAGTGCGCACCAGGATTCACAGTTGACGATTGCCCACAGACCCTGCGCGCCCTCTGGCAAGTGATCCACGATATACAAGGACGCCGACAATATCTGAAGAAGGAATTAGATTTTAGAGTTATCATTATATTTAGGCAAAAAAGTTATTTACTTAATCTTTATAAAAATGTTTTCTCCCTTTTTTTTATAATATAAGGTGGCAAACAAGCAAGCAGCCACTTGAATCTGCCGTAATGGAGAAACGGCTGCTGCCCATAGACATCCGCAATTGCAGATGCATTACCTATCCTTATCCGTCGGAGGAGGAGACGCACATAAAGAGGATATTTCTCCTTCCTATGCATCTCCTCCCATCACCACCGCACCACACTCATCAGACAAAACACGGAATTGCTTCCATTTTACGCCCGTCTTCAGTGTGGTCGTGGTATTACACCGGGCGTGTGTGCCCATTCGTGCAAAGATGTTAAAGCGGGCACTACCACTGTAAACTATGTTTGTCTTATGAATGAATTAAATGATTATTATTATTATTAAACTACTAAAACAATCCTGATTAATCTCGTGATGTATATTAGACCAAATCTAACCTTACTAAAGGATGGGATAATTTTTGTCTCGATTTTAATCTTGTTCAAGGATTTCAATATTATACGGTTCGGGACGGCTCCGGCTGCAACTCGTTTGTATTTAATTTCGAGGACGCATAATAAATGGACCGATCGATAGCTATTAGCGTTCTTGTCTTCAACAAAATCTTAAATAAAAGAATAACTGCGTAAAAACATTTTCTATTTCGTCTTCTTTTTTTAACATATGAAAATGAAATGTTTTTAAAAACCACGATTGTTAAGAAAAACATCTTATCTTAAAAATCAATTAGTGTTATTCTATTGGAAATTTATATTTAATTACTTTTCTTTTTTAAAGTTTTTGTAACATTAATTATCAACATAATTAAAAATATACTTAAAAAAATTTAAATATATTTTAAATTAAGATTTCTTTGTATAATTTGTGCTTTATGTAATTAAATTTCAACGTAATTTGAACTTTCAAGAGTTTTGAAGCTTGTAAAAGTAGATTTAATGTTGCCAACAAAGACCCTTACCCTTCTTGTCGTGTTATATGAAACTGTAATTATCTGCTTCGTTCGCGAGAATATGCCATATTTTAGTAGCATAATATACAAAGTCAGTTCATTTAATTGATCCGGATTAGGATTCGACGTCCTCCTACGCGTTGTTAACTAGTTTGTACCAATGTGGTTAAGTTTTCTAACTCCGTTTGATTCAAGCCTATTTGGACATCGTAGGACTTACTAGTCGGATTTGCTTCAATTGTTTGTAAAATCGATTCAAAAATATGTCGTTAACGAATTTACGCATGAGCTAGGTCATCTTTCGATCCTATATTGCAATGGAAATATTATATGTTACTATTAAATGGGCTTTATTGTAGAATTTATCGATCTCGGGTAGCTTAACGCCATCGTAACGGCCTTGATAGCTGCGACCAAATACAAATTTATGTCAGATATTTCATGCTAACTCAATCTATACTGATAAGAGACAGGATAAATTTAACTCGACTATCTGTTTTTCCATTAAAGCTTTCCTTTGAAATAATTAAAAAGATTTTTATAACTGCTCCCTTCATTACCGGCCAGCGCTCCTTTTTAATTGACATCCCCCCCTAGATTTTTCATTCACATAGAAATTCACGCTCAATCATCAAATATTTAACGTTGGAATCGGTTCATTTTATATGATACGAGTATTCAGTATAGTTTGTATTTATTTATTACTAGTTTAACTAAGCATATAACTCGAAGTACATATTTTGAATAATTCGTCGACAGAAATAACTTTCGACTTCTACGAAATGAAAAACAAATTAAAAGGCAACATTTCACCCAACATTTTTTTTAAGTGGGCGCGAATTCCAATAAATTGTACGTTGTACAAAACTATTTACAGAAAATATTAACGTAATACATTCGTTTGTATATAGGGTTGTATATATTGTTTTGTGATTGTAAAATTATATTTAAAATTGTAATATTGTATGTTTGTATAAATAAATAAAATATAATATTGTAGGTTGAGAACGAAAGATTTTTAGTCACTTCGCGCCAATTTTGAAATAATTAAAATACATTAACTCATTTATTCGGTCCAGTTTCTTTGTTTAGTTTTCTTTATAAAAATGTATTAAGAAAAAATAACGTTGTTAGACGTTTTTTTCCTGTTTTATTCTTGCTTTTAGCGGTATTTAAAAATGTGATGAAATTTAGCATTGGTTACGTTAATATTTTATCCCACCCAATTCATGTCCTTCTAATTAATTTTATGTTTTTACTTTTTTAGGCGGCAGTTTAGCTGCCCATGGGCAAGCTTGAAATTATCCATTGATGTTTGACTTGGTTGCATTCCGTGACCGACCGAACTGTCGGTTTCGGTACTATCTTGGCTACAAATCTAGTTTCGATTTCAGTTAAAATATTTGCGGGACTGGAGTATTCGTGAATTTTATTGCGTTCGATTCGCTATTACGTAATCGAAAACATGGTTTTTAATATTTTTTTAACTTTACATTTGAGGAAGTCGTAGAACGTAATCGTGGAAAGGTATCGGCTGAAACATAGAGGAAGGCCGAAAGATCGGCTTCTGTTTCGGCTAAAAAACTAGCTTCGGTCGTACACTTAATACATCATTGGTCTAAAATGCGCGAGATATAAACCGTATATTACCTGAGTTTCAGACGTGATATCAAGTTGCAAGGTATGTAATCGTCCGGAGCAGTCTTCTTTGAGCATGTCGGCATCAATGTTACCGGCCTTGTTCTGGAAGCCGGCGAACACGTGGTAGCCGAGATCGTCTAGCCGACGCGCTAAAGCATTGCCAAGCACGTTGTCACATCCGGTTACAAGTACTGCCTTCCCTGCAGCTGTTACCTGGTAACAGATAAAGATTACAACATTAACCTAAATAGCATAAGAATACAACTATCTATAGATCAAAGCAAGGACAACTATTTTTGATACCTTTATCTTATTGCCTTATATTATACTGAACCTTATAACCTTTGCAGAATGTTACTGTGCTAATACGAATAATAACAATGTCTTAAGCATCGAATTCACGAGTTATATTTGATTAATTATAGAATATCCTAATTTGGGATGGGTCTTCTGTCAAAGACATATCTGCCCAGTGTGCATGTTATCCAGGGCGATGAAGTGACTTTCGATTTGCGATTTTTCTACTTGAATCTACAAAATTTGTCAAATCGTGTAGAAATAAATAAGTGACAATAACGTGACTTGTCAAATTTTTAGCCAGTTTTAGAAATTTGTAACATTTCAATCAGCGATAGCGATTATCGAATGATACTTTGTCTAAAGGTTTGTGGCTTTTGCTGCCTTACTCATGCTGTAAATATCAAAATTCAGATTTCGTATTACTACAATTCTTTGATAAATCTTTCACTGCAATTAAATTAGCTACTTTTAACTTAGGTTAGCTTTATATGCACTAATAAATCTAGCCTGGTAAGGATGTACCATCGGTATCTATACTAATATAATAAAGCGTAAATACACACTACTTCAGCCAGGATGTCAGCAATCACAGCATATTTTTGAATAATTATTTCTTTAAGAAAAAGCCCTATACTTACGACACGCTTTAGGCTATACATTTTCCCGCTATTAAACCTAGGATATAGGAAAATCTGCAAAAACATTAATGTGGGAAAGGAACCATAAACTGCAAGCAGCCAACATTAAGGCAGAAAGGTTATTATGGTATATAGTTTGTCTAAATAAGAAAGTTTGATAAATGACGCATATGAAGTTTCGAATTAAATTTTGTATGAAGGTAAATGCCGTATACCGGTATCAGGTATAATAGACATACACGCATAGCGAACAATTATGAACTATCGATATTCGGCTTAAATAAAGTTTATCGAACTTATTTAAAATTATTACTTTCTTATTAAGTAATTTATAGGACAATTCTAGTATTGATTACAATGTAGAGCATTTAGCGATGATAATGATTTGTCTATTAAGTACGGCATTTACCTTTAAACAAATTTGATTCGATACTTCATATGCATCATTTATGAAACTAATCTGTCTTATTTAAACAAACTGTAACGGTAATCTTGACATTTGCAATATAGGATTTGACAACATTTGATTGTAAATAATAAAATAAAGTTTGTTTTATTATTTCATGCGGATAAAGCCGCACGGGAAAAGCTAGTGAGCATATAAAATAACATTCGGTATTTATGGGAAAGAATAACAAGAATCCATTAATCAATTCTGACAAACTTTCAACTTAACATTGGTACAATTATTATTGCATTGCCATTTCTCAATATTTCGCTCTCAAGATTTTCACGGCGTAGGCGTTTGGCAAAAGGTATCAGTCGCCAGTCCCGTGGGTGTCGTAAGAGGCGATTAAGTAAAGAAATAAATCAGGGAATGGTGAAGGCGTTGTATCATGCAAACCTTTTGTATTGCGGTCAATACTCTCTAAGTAGCCTATACGAGAAACATATAACAGTAAATAAACCCGTTATATTGAATTATGCTTTACAATTATCTTGTGAGCATGGTAACCCAATGATCTAAGGACAGGACGTAAAGAGAGACATCGAGATAAATTAAAACCTTTAGGTTTCGTTTTAGTTATTAATTCGAATATATTGTAACTAGCTGATTCCGTGCGGCTTCATCCGCATGAAATTTTATTTCATTATTTACATTTATCAAATTATCAATAGCAAATGTCAAAATGACATGACATGACAAACCTTAACAATCTTGCTTCCTCGATGTTGGTAGCAACTTATGGTCTCTTTCCCACATTAGGGTTTTTATCTAAAATATTTACCCCCTAAGTTTAATGGCGTAAAAATATATAGCCTAAAACGTGATGCAAGTGTAGGGTTTTTTATTGAAAATAATTATTCAAAAACATGCTGTAATTGCTGACATCTTAGGCAACAAAGAAGTGTGTGTTTACTCTTTATTATAATAGTATAGATAATTTGCATAACTCTGGATAATCGTCCTTTACGTATTGGGTTAGCTAACATTACTTATTCCTACAAGCAAAATAACTGAATCTATTCAGCGGTGTCTTTTCTATGAAAACATGCATTAACCTATTTTTAAATTGGACTTTCGAAAGAAATAAATGACGCAATTGTATGCGACGATGTTGGCGCTATTCACCACTGATCCAGAATAATTGTCAAATTGACAAATAATGCTGTCCTTTAATTACTAGTAATCTATATTATTTTACACAGGATTTTTACTAATTTATTTTCATCTAAATTTTGCCCGCGTATCCGTGCATTTAAAAAAAAAATTAGAAAATGTGTGCTTCCAAATGTTCTATATCTTTGCCAAATTTAAGCGTCATCCATCCAACATCCATCCCAACTTTCGAATTTATAACATTATAAACTTAAATAATGGAATATAATAATGATAAGTAAATAAATTAAACAATATCTGATTTCACTATTTACAAGTTGCTCCTGGAAGGCATCGCAATTGCAATCTGAAAACATCGAAAGAAAGAATCCGCAAGATTAAAATATTAGCGCGAGCAAAACATAGAATATAATTCGAACAACTTTGTTGTTTACTCTCCCGGGCTTCCTTATGTTAACGTCCGATAGTGTACATACCTATCATCATAGAAGATAGAAAAGTAAACATTCATTTTTGTTAAAATAGTAGCTTTTCAGAATTCGTCCACGGGGAATTAAAAAAAACCTATAAAAAACCTATGTTATTCAGTGATGGTTTAGCTTTCTTATATTGTGTTCGAGTTAATTGAATACATGCAAAATAAAAGTTTTTCTTCATTACAATATTTATCGCATCCTAAGATCTTCATCATCATCCTAAGATCGACCGTTAGACGTAGACCTCCTCAAATTCCGCGATATCCGGTCCTGTGCCTCCGTTGTGTTAACATTAGATGTTAATGATTGTTAATTTTTGAACGATTAAAGTAACTGGCAACTAATAATTTTGAGTACTGGCTGAATGTGCATCGTGCATGATAGATGCCAAGAAGACGATAGAATGACTGATGACAGTTGAATGGTGGAATGATCCGCTTTGTTATTATAACATCAATTAAATATCTCTGTAAATATTTGCAATTTGATTTTTCGACACAACACACTCTGTGTTGTGAAGTTATCCATTAATATGGTGGTCAACTAAGGATAGTGTTTCTAACGTTACACGATTGTTACTTCATTATCTCCAACATACGCACACCTACAATAGAAGATCGTTACCGTCGTTATGATCTACCTTTGGAATTGAATTCTAAAAACCGCTCGCCACTTGTTGGAACAAGTTTTTATTGTATCAGAGTAAGTCTATTCTAGATTCCAATCTGTTACACAAATAAATAAACTGCTCGGTAATAGTTTTACGTGTGTGATTCGCGATGTTGCTCGCCGATCGCTTTCGTAAACGTTGTACTGGGTTATCTAAACATTGGCTCCTAGCTCTGCTAGCTTTATTTCGGTCTTACTATATTGTATTGTACTATAACACGATAGATTTAATACAAACTTTATAACTATTTATTTTCAATCACGGTCATTTCAAACATTGCTATAATCAATTGTTGCCGTCTAACGAATATTTATTGAATCTTAAGAATAGGACCCTCGCGAAACAGGCTACGCCTTTCAACTGAATTTTCAATTTATTGAATTTTTAATTATTTTGCGTGGATGAAGTCGCGTACAACAGGGTAACAGACAGTTATAGGAAACTAGCTGTTGCACGCGACTCTGTTAGCGCGGAATTAAAAAAAGCTTAATAAGTAACATATGTAAATGTGTTCTTTCAGACTATTACTACAAGTATGCTAAATTTCAACAAGATCAGTTGAGCTGTTCTGATGAAAAGTAGTAGTAAACATCCACCTGAATTTTCGCATTAACAATTTACCATAGATATGTAAAATTTATTAATCTGTATAGATGCTGCTGCTTACAAAAAATAAGAAAAAGTCCATCAAACTGATACAATTTTCAAAGCACATCTTATTCTGTTTCAAAAAGCAAATCATTCTAAAAGTAACATATTATTTATTTATGTTAATTCTTTAGACATAATCTAAAAAGTATCTACAAGACGTAATGTAAGGAGATCGATTGAAAAGCGAGTGAAAAATATAGCAAAATCGGGATTTGAAATTTCGCAAAGTAAAAGCATAAAACAACGTAATAAAAACCTTTTAATTTCTTTAATCCCACGCACTTCTTAGAGATGGTAATCTAATTTTAATTTATTCTGTATGGTGGGAGTCCGTGAATTGGTTCCCGGGAGAATCTAGTCTTGTTCCATTTCAGTTTCCTAGATAATTGCTTCTGAGGGGAACATCGGTATACGATTAATTTACTTTACACAAATTAGTTCTCAAATTAACTTATCTTTCATGTTTTGGAAGCTAATTCGTTTAAATTAAAAATTATTTTACCAAAAAACAAGAGAAAAGTGGCCCTTCATAATGAAGTGTCTAATAATAATACTTGTATAATAATAATCATTTATTTCAGATATCAAAGATCCATAAAGTATTAATGTTGTCTATTGTTGGTAGAAAACTTTTCATAATTCATATCAACAATTTAAAAAACATACATTTTTACATTATGCTAATGTAAATGTATCCAGCGAGCCAGCATCGCCGAGTACAACCTGTCCATTAGCGTACTCAGTACACAGTACACTTTCGAATGATAAATTCGAAGCCATCTGTACGAGCATCTACGAAGTGACAGAGATCCAGTAACGTGGTAACCCCATCAATATTCTGAACGCGTTGTTGTACTGTACACGTAGGTCCTTTGTGTACTCAAACCCACAGACCGCACGCATAAAAATACTAGCAGCATTTACGTCTTTTGGACAATTAACGAATCTACAGGCCAACGTATTCGGCGATGTAATGACCCAAATACTTGAATGTCCGCCTTTATTAACGGAACACAAAGCGAAAATACTACTCTGTTTACTTCTTCCACACACTACAGTTCACATCAAATGTTAACCTACCTTTTGGAAAAAAACAGAGTTATGTTAAATCTCGCGATCTTATACGAGTATAACGTATCGGGACTCTTTCACCGAGCTTTTGCACGACGCCAAGGAAATACTGCTTATAGCCTTTACAACATTCGGAAATACAGAAAACGAATAACACCTATACAAATATCGACAGATATTAATCAAAAAATTTTACATCATACTAATCATACTAAAATTATAAATGCGAAAGTTTAGATGGATGCATGGATGGATGGATGTTTGTTAGAGTTTGTAGCCCAAATGGCTGAACGGATTTCGATTAAATTTGATATAGATGTACGGGATAGTCTGGAAGAACACATAGGCTACCCACTTTTGTTTTTTTTTAATTCTGCGCGGATAGAGTCGCGGGTGAAAGCTAGTATTCCATATAGCTGAAATGAAATGCCATGAATGTTAAAAAGCAATTTGATTATTTGCCGATATCTATGAGCTACCAATGAAAGAGCGAAAATACTTCACAGCGGGATAATAAAGATTTTATAGGTTAATAATAATGAAATATTTTCCTATGAAAGCTAGTTCATCGCTTATAAAGCAAGTCGAGTCCTTTTTATTAAAGTCAAGAACCATTTCAAGACGTTTCCTTTTATATAGACTTTAGCAAAATTTATATGCATTATCGCTGTGGCGATGTATCTGGCATGCAGAAGCCTCGACGGCGCATATCAGTGAAGAGGAAGAAAAGGAAATGTCATTATGATAGTAGACAGATTCACCCGTTGGCCAGAGGCGTGGCCAATGACAAGCATTACCGCAGAGGAGGTTGCTGAAACTTTTATGGCAGGATGGGTTGCCCGTTTTGGAGTTCCTGAGACTGTGACTACGGATCAGGGACGGCAGTTTGAATCGTCCCTGTTCAACGCTATGCTGAAACATTGCTCAGTCAGCCAAACCCGTACCACGAGCTATCACCCATGTGCGAACGGGATGGTAGAAAGGTTTCACCGCCAGCTTAAAGCGGCTCTTATGTGTCATGGAGGAACGTGGCACAGCGCATTGCCCTTAGTTCTTCTTGGAATGAGAACGGCGCTTAAAGAAAACCTCGGTGTATCCACAGCTGATCTTGTATATGGAGAACCGCTTCGGCTGCCTGGCGAGTTCATTGCTCCTTCGTCTAACCCGTACACTCTCTACACTCCTTCAGTCACTGACTTTGCGTCGGAGCTAAGGAGACACATGTTGAACATAAATCCTGTTCCAGCAACACATCACTCAGAACGTCGTCCCTTTGTTTTTAAAGACCTTGATAAGGCAACTCATGTATTTTTAAGAGACGATACAGTCAGGGCATCATTAAAGCCTCCATATACCGGGCCTCACCCAGTAGTAAGCAATGACAGGAAAAACATAACTATTACAAAAGCCGGCGTATGTAGAAGAGTCTTTGAAGCCGGACTTCACTCACTCTTCTACTCCATCGTTTTCTTACCATTGCCCTAAGACTGTTAGTTCTCCTCCAAAGGTTACATTAATTCCTCCACAAAGCTCACATACATCACAACAGTCATTAAATAGCGCCCCTCCAGATTACACGACCCGTTCAGGTCGCAAAGTACGTTTTAGGTTGCCCATCAAAGTCTAGCATCCATCATACACCATCTTGAATTAAAGGCATGTAAACTCTCTCCTTCTTCAGTTTTTTTTTTAATTCCATGTATTTTTTAATTTTTTTTTAATGGATTTGTATGGGTCATTTTACACCGTGGGGGGGTGATGTGGCGATGTATCTGGCATGCAGAAGCCTCGACGGCGCATGTCAGTGAAGAGGAAGAAAAGGAAATGTCATTATGATAGTAGACTAGATCGAGGACGAATATACATATGTATGTAAATAAAGAATTATTAACATACGAGTCTTTATCGCACTGAAACTGGAATGTATTGAAGTATTATTTTTAGAATTCAAAGATGGTTTTATTAAATCACGAGCTTTCGCCTGCGACACCGTCCGCGTGGAATTAAAAAAAAACAAAAGTGAGTAGCTTATGTGTTCTTCCAGACTATCCTTTACGTCTATGCCAAATTTCATCAAGATCCGTTCAGCCGTTTGGGCTGCAAACTCTAACAAACAACCATCAATCCATCCATCTATCTAAACTTTCGCATTTATAATATTAGTAAGATTAGTAAGATATGTGTTTAATTAAGGTTAGGATAATTTTAGCAACAGTGGGTTTCATTTGATGTATCAGAAATCGCACTCAAGTCTGTTAACCGTGAGAATGTTTTTTAACGACTGGCATGCGTAAACCATCTATCATTCTGTAATGCGGTCTGAACTTCATGTTGGGTTATTTTTTTACACAATTTTATGTACGTAACACAATTTTAGGTAACCACCGGACGTGTGAAGACGTGGTTGTTTTTTTCACCAGGCTCACCAAGTGCCCTACTGCATTGACATACGTTCGCAACTAACCACGAGCCGACGTAAAGTTTGAATCTTGTTATACGCGATTCGGCGGTTCGAAACTTATTATTTTCTAGAGATATTGAGATATAATGAGAATTACAATTTAAATAAACCTTAGAGCGTAGGACGATATCATTGAATTTTTGTGACCTTTGCAAAATTAACTATTCTCTTTATTCTGTTCGCGTGTAATAAAAAAACAAAACCGACTTCCAAACAAAATACACTAAAAACAAAATATTCTCAAAAAAAAACAGTACACTAAAAAGTAACGAAATAATTCCTTGAAAATAGTAAACCTACCTTATTGTAACTGTTATGTGTATATTGTACAATTATTATTACTTTGATGTCGGTGTCAGCCAAGGTATGCAGTGATATTTCTATGTGAGGGTTTCCACATTTTTACCATAACAATTGACAATTATAACGATTAAGTAATGAATCTACATTGACTGACACCGACTTTAAAGTAATAATAATTGTACAATATAGACATAAAAGTTACAATAAGGTAGGTTTACTATTTTCAAGGAATTATTTCGTTACTTTTTAGTGTACTGTTTTTTTTGAGAATATTTTTGTTTTTAGTGTATTTTGTTTGGAAGTCGGTTTTTTTTTTTTTTTAAAGTTTATTTCTCGATTTTTAGTGAATCTAAACAACGTAGTATGATAATCACTAGCTTTCAAACAAAGAATGAGTTATCTAAATCGGTTATCTAAGAAATTAGTAAATAACTAATACATCGTTGCGATCATTTACTTATAATTCTGTGCGGCCGCGCGCCGCTGTTGCCCGTGAGTTTTAATATTTTGATAACTTCTAGAATCTTGGTCAGAATTTCATACTGTAAAAGGCAAATATGATCTACATTTAATACTCTATCGAGAAAACATTATCTGGATAAGGATTCATACCAAATAAGAATAAAAGCGTTTGAAATGAAGTCGATTGCATTTATTTGACGGTTTTCGCGAAAGAAACGGTTATTGTGCGACAACCTTAAGAGATAGATATATGCTATCGCGGACTTTAATGTAGTTAATTGAATGAGCTACAAGTCTTTGATACATCATTTTTGTGTAGGTCTTATAGTTTAGGCTACGTAAGCCAAGAAAGCAAACTTTGTTACAAGTTGGTATTTTTTTCTGCGACTCGTAATTTGCTTTTTATGATATCTCCTAAACTATTGATCGTTATTACACAGTTCCAAGGGCATTTACAATCTACATAAAATTCTCTTGATGATGAACACATTTATTTGGATAAGGGTTCATACCGAACACGAGTAATAGCGTTGAAAGTGGGGTATAGATTTCGAGCGATATTTTAATGAAAAAAGTGGTTATTGTGCGTAGCGTGCGTGCGTGCGTAGTTTTTACGTGAATCAAATACACCCAAAAGTACAAATAATTACTCTTTGTAATATTATTAGAGATTTTACCTCAAAGTAGACACATTGTACTATCCACTAACGAATGCACTCACGCACCTTTCATACCCTTACCTGTAAGTTGTGGTAAAACCAGAGTGAACCGGTTACGGATATAGAGAACCAGAGGAATAGCGTGAATACGGATATCTGGCTGACATGCATCGCGTTGAGTAGCGCCGAAAGCACAACCGCGAGCGCATGGCACAGAACGATGGGCAGCGCGCACCGGTCTATTATGTCCCATGGCACTTCCTGCAAACAACAAAACTTATAGTCTGATGTACAAAACTTTTACATTAACAGGTGATAAACGTGCAAGCAATCACCAGATGTATAGTGTTTGCTTACAATTGATTTCTTCCCCTTGAATTGTAGAGACGTTGTCTATTTTTATTGGACAGACGACAGATTGAACAGAAAATATAAGTTAATTGGAATACAAAAAGAAAACTCGACTGACTGTAACAACAAAACACTCAAGGAAAGTAATGGATCAATTTAGTTGTTGAGGCTCCCTCTATCCTACATATTAAAACTTACGTGTTGGTTACATTACCCTCCTGAGGCAATCTGGTAAAAAAAGATATCAAAATTTAACTTCCTTCAAATCCCTTTGCTGTTCATCTCGATCGATTTATTGCAAACTTTATTTTTTATTACACATATAATTTGTTTTAAAATAGCTTTGTTAACCTGCGATTGTGTTTGTGGGTTCTTGATGAGAGAGCCGCGACGCGCGGACGGCCGGCGGTGCATCGACGGCGCGGTGATTGAGGCACGCCGCGTCACGTCGCCGGCAGCCATTATTGCTCACTTATTACCGCTTTATCTAAAAGAAAATCACGTTTTATTTTTATCGTTTATCTTCTATAACTATCAATGTTGTGCACATTCATTTTACTTTGAGAGCAAACTTATTTGTTTGCAAATACTACGTCGTTTAACACCTTTTATTCGCTTTAAACTATTTTTTTAGACAAACTCTCTCTTACACTCTTTTTAATTAACTGCGTACAAGTTTTACTTCGTTAACTATGTTGCAATTAAAGTTTCAAATACGTGATGTATACTTCCTAAATGATCCTACTAATAATATAAATGCGAAAGTTTAGATGGATGGATGGATGTTTGATAGAGTTTGTAGCCTTAACTGTTGAACACATCTCGATAAAATTTGGCATAGATGTACAGGATAATCTAGAAGGCTATATATTTATTTTTTAATTCCACGCGGACAGTGTTGCGACCGAAAACTAGTATAATCTATCATGAATACATTTCAAATAATATTACAGTGCATGCAAAAATGCGAATTAAAAACCTCTTACTAATAAAAATGAAAAACATAACGTTACTAATGGCAGATTTTCCAGTAACGTTTTACCATTCGTTAGTGCTTTTGGTTCGATAATCTAATGAAATGTGTTCGATCAACGTCACCTGAGTTTTACTCCGTTAAAATTTACGTTAACCTAACACTAATTCTCTCTCTCTCTTCTATTCCTATGTCCCCAAGTGGGGCAGAGGGCGCTAATAATCGCCATGTAATAATAAAATATATGTATACTTCAGAAACCTAGCATAGAAAAGAAACAATTCTATAAAAGTCAAAAATCGAGTTTTATTAAAAATCCCAAAACCACCGCGTTTTATTTTCGATAGTTCAGTAAATTAGCGGCGCCCACGGGTCGTCTATCAAAATTTGTATAAACCCGGCGTGGCGGCTTTTTAGGTCGTCTCGTTGATCGCGATTTGTGTAAAAATAAACTGGTAGCCGAGCGCTGCGCCGTGTTCTTGGCGAACGGGAACGCCTCGCGACATTTACACGGTGCACTTTCTATTTACGAAGTCTCGCATCGACCTCTCCAGCTCTTCCCTAACCACTGCCTAGGTACAGCACATCCAATCAAAATTAATTAGCAACTAGCTTCTAAAAACTTTCGAAACAGTTTGTATTGCTAGAACTAGTTTGTATTGAAAAAAGTACTCGGTTTTTAGGTATTACTTTTTCATTATCATCAACTTGGCCTTATCCCTTATGGAGGGTCGGCACAGTATGTGCTGCTCATCCATACATCTCTATCAGCCGTGATATCTGAATCTAGGTATAGGTATTACTTTTTATTTTCCAAATTACTGTTTTTCTTTTGGAATCAAAATAGACGAAATAGTTCTGAATCATGGCAGATAAGCAAAACAAAGTAAACATAATATAGAGTCAAGTTAACTGCGAGGATAATTCATCGCTATCATTATATCCGGAGATAAAAGATTGACCGACACTAGCTTCTTATCGTATCTGCCAATTATTCCATTCAATACAACAACCTACGCAATACCTTTAATAGCCGGTTTCCCAGTTACTTTTATCCATTCGTTAATGTTATTGGTTCGATAACTCCATTAAATTCGTTTCCGAATTATGGAACTTAAGTTTTACTCCTTTGAAACTTAGATCAACCTAACACTAATGAATCACTAGGTAATAACAAAATAAGTAAAAACTTCGGGAACCCAGCATAAGTGATTGTCTATTTAGTTAAAGTATTTCTAGAAATGTCACAATAGATAACTAAGAAAGATTTTCGTAGTTATCTAATGCGCACGATGACAGTTAAACGTTTATTTCTGACTGTAAAATACCAATTTATATTGTATCAGAGCATTCACGCTTTAAATTCTTGTTGTTGACAAACGGACACACGAAAATGTTTCATTGAATTTATTAATGCTAGAAACATCAATGAATGGAAGCGATTCTTTTTTTTTTTTAAATTAAATCTTCTCTTACGTTATTTAGTTTAGACAGATAGCCCATTTGTAATACAACATAAAATTCAGAAAAGATTATAGTTTTAGACTAAATATTTTTTTCAATATAAATAATATGTTGTACTAAGCCTCTGATTAGTTAATTTGTTTTGATTGTTATTTAGGAGATTGATGAAGTAAATGAAACCGATTGGTATCGTAAAGGGCCACCCGCGGCGCGCGACGGCGCGGGCGTGAACACGATAATGAACGTTTACGCTAAGTGTTTTTTATATTATATTATATTTGTGGCTACTTTATGACTTCGGTGGCAACTTGCCCGAATTATATTCATATACTCGCCTACGTATGTATCACAAGGTGACTTTACAAACTTCTTTTGCTTTTATTTTGTTTGTTTGAAAGCGAATAATTGTTACTACTTGCACGAGTTCGTCTCCGATTTATTTCAAAGGTCATAAGGCGCAAAAATATAGATACAAACTAGAAGACTACATGTCATTTAACTTTGAGCAGCTATCATATAAGAGTGGCCAAATTGTACCGCTATTAAAACACAAGACCCAATGGTGTCTACCTGATAGAGCTTTGTCGACACGGAGGCATTAAAAATAAGATATTTAACAGTCCGCTAAACACATTTCCATTAGCCCTACAAGACAAGGAAAATAACTGAAAAGGTTATTATTAGTTACTTCTAGTATATAAACACTAGCTGTTCCCGTGCGGCTTCATTCGCATGAAATTATAAAAAAAAAATGTAATGTTTACATTTGTCAAATCAATTATAGTAAATATCAAAATGACATGACATAACAAACCTTAGCAATCTTGCTTTCTTGATGTTGGCAGCAACTTATGGACTCTTTCCCACATTAGGGTTTATATCCAAAATATTTACCCTCTAAGTTTAATGGCGTGAAAATATATAGCCTAAAGCGTGTCGTAAGCGTAGGGCTTTTTATTAAAAAAGAATTATGCAAAAATATGCTGTAATTGCTGACATCTTAGGCAACAAAAATGTGTGTGTTTACGCTTTATTATAATAGTATAGATTATTTTTTTAATTTCATAGTGTAAAAATTGTAAATTGACCTTTATGATATGTCGATACACATAAGATTGGTCATCGCATCACGCGTGAACTGATGAAACAATTTCGCTATTTTTTGTTATGTCTACCGTTTAACGAGGTTCTTATGACAGAAATAAATAAAAAAATAGAAAGTAATAGAAAACCTTTGTCTATACTAATGTTATAAAGAGGAAAGATTTTTTCTTTTTGTATGTATTGAAATAACTTAAAAACTTCTGGGTCAATTATGAAATTCTTACACCATTAAAAACCTACGTTATCAGTGAGTAACATAGGCCATGTTTTAATGTGTTTTTGACCGACTTCCCAAAAGAAGGAGGTACTCAATTCGTCTGTATGTTTTTTTTTATTTTTTTTCTTTTTTTATGTGTGTTACGGCATAACTCCGCCGCTAGTGGACCGATTTTGATAATTCATTTTTTTATCCGAAAGGTAATGCTTGCAGGTGGGTCCCATTTTTTTGTTTGATTTTTGGAGTCAAAGACTACGACGTAGTTAAATAGTTTAGCTCAAAATCGCGCGACGAAATTTCGGGTTATTTTTGCTTTCTTTGCTTACGTAGCCTAAACTATAAGACCTACATAAAAATGATGTATGGAAGAATTGTAGCCCTTTAAATTTGCTAAATAAAAGTCCGCGACAGCATATATCTATCTATTAAGGTTGCACAATAACCACTTTTAACATAAAAATATCGCTCGAAATCTATACCCCACTTTAAACGCTATTACTCGTGTTCGGTATGAATCCTTATCCAAATAAATGTGTCTATCATCAAGAGAATTTAATGTAGATTATAAATGCCCTTGGAACTGTGTAATTCCGATCAATAGTTTAGGAGATATCATAATTAGCAAATTACGAGTCGCAGAAAAAAATACCAACTTGTAACAAAGTTTTCTTTCTTGCCTTACGTAGCCTAAACTATAAGATCTATATAAAAATGATGTATGAAAGAATTGTAGCTCATTTAATAAGCTATATAAAAGTCCGCGATAGCATATATCTATCTCTTAAAGTTGTCGCACAATAACCGTTTGTTTCGCGAAAACCGTCAAATAAATGCAATAGACTTCATTTAAAACGCTTTTATTCTTATTTGGTATGAATCCTTATCCAAATAATGTGTTATATGTTTTCAGGATAGAGTATTAAATGTAGATCATAATTGCCTTTTACAGTATGTAATTCTGACCAATATTCTAGAAGTTATCAAAATATTAAAACTCACGGGTAACAGCGGCGCGCGGCTGGACAGAATTATGAGTGAATGATCGCAACGATGTATTAGATATTTACTTAATTTCTTATATAATCGATTTAGATAACTCATTCTTTGTTTGAAAGCTAGTGATTATCATACTATGTTGTTTAGATTCACTAAAAATTAAGAAATAAATAAACTTTTTAATAAAAAAACAAAACCGACTTCCAAACAAAATACACTAAAACAAAACAAAATATTCTCAAAAAAACAGTACACTAAAAAGTAACGAAATAATTACTTGAAAATACCTACCTTATTGTAACTGTTATGTCTATATTGTACAATTATTATTACTTTGAAGTCGGTGTCATTCAATGTAGATCCATTACTTAATTGTTACTATACTTTCAATTGTCAATTGTTATGGTAAAAATGTGGAAACCCTTACGTAGAAATAGCACTGCATACCTTGGCTGACACCGACATCAAAGTAGTAATAATTGTACAATATAGACATAACAGTTACAATAAGGTAGGTTTACTATTTTCAAGTAATTATTTCGTTACTTTTTAGTGTACTGTTTTTTTGAGAATATTTTGTTTTGTTTTTAGTGCATTTTGTTTTGTTTTTAGTGTATTTTTTGTTTTAATTACACGCGGGCGAAGTCGCGACCAATATGTTCAAGATTCATAATTCAGACATGACAACCTCTGTTGGTTCAGTTCTGAGGTGTTATTTATTAAAGTGCCTAAAATGCCACAATGTAAAGGTATATGTTACAGAAATGTATTATAACAAGAAATACAAACAACGCGAAAAAGATTTATCGCCACTTTGGCCGAGGAGATTCATAATTCAAAACGATATTTGAAATGCTTCTTGCAGTAAAATATACATAAAAAGTTATTTTGACTTATTTTCTATGGATTTCTATTGCTGTTATTTTATAGATCGTGACGTTATCATTGGTTTCAGATGCTAATTTTTATTACGTGTTTTACATCTACACTTTTTTCTCACTTCATCTTCAAAAATGAAGAAAGTAAAAAGAAAGTAAGCCTACAGAACGTGTATCTAGAATGATTGTACTACAACTTTGAAGTGACAGAGCACAAAATGCATTTCCACATCCTTATAACAAACATCGTACCGGATAGTAAGGTCGTTGACCTTTTGACATTAAGTCATTCAGGCGAATTCAGTTTGGACAAGACTCAATAGCTTCCGAGAGCCCTTTCTTGGTTTTTTATTCAATTCCTACACATCGGCCAGGCTGATTATCTTCTAGTAATATTTTGTATTCTATTTTGTGTTTTTAATTACCTAGGTTGTGTTCGCTAAGCGACTGTAAACGATACGGTTTATGTTTAATAACACTTATGCTGGGTTTCCAAAGTTTTCATTTATTTTATCATTACCTAGTGATTCAATACTGTTACGATGACCTAAGTGCCAACGGACTAAAATTCAAGTTATGTAATTCGGAAACGCATTTCATGAAGTTATCGAACCAAGAACACTAGTTGATAGTTAAATGTAGTTGGGAAACCGGCCATTAATATATTTTTTTATTAAAACAACAGTCAGACAATCGTTTAATTAAAAGGCTGTTCATTTTTAAGTACTTCTATAGTTACTCGTATACTAACTTTCCCACACAAACCCGTGGGCAAAGAATTAGAAAATATATAAGTAGCTTATGTATTCTTTCATATGCTCTATACATGTATGACAAATTTTAACGAGATCCATTTAGGCAGCAAACTAATAAATATTTACCTGAACTTACACATTTAACTATGACATTAGTAAGATTTTTATAGTTATAACCTCATCTATACTTAATATATTAAAGCGTTAACACACACTACTTCGGGGCGCAGGATGTCAGCAACCTTTAGAATAAATCTTTCTTTAGTTAAAAGCCATAGTACACTTACGACACGCTTTATTATATATTTCACGCTATTAAAGTTAGGGAGTAAATTAATTGAAAAAAAAACCTTTATGTGGGAAAGGGGTCATAAACTACAAGCTGACAACAATAAGGAAGCGAGGTTATATAGGTTAATCTTTCCTCTATAGATATAGACATATATAAGACAAATATTTGAGCAAAATACAGAAACTAGTTTCTACATCACGTTGCCCCAATTAACAGAAATCCTTATAAATGCTCTTTTCAATAATTTCTTTTAATTTGTTCGAACCTTGTTTTATATAATCTCTTGACAATATCCAATCGGAAAATTACTGAAACTTCTCCTTGATATAAAGAAAACTGTTTATAAGTTTCTCAATAAGAGGTTTGTAAGTTAAGGAAACATTACATTTATGAGATTAAAATTTCTTAGAAGTTTCAATAAATTCCAGATCCATTTGATTGTATACAAGCAATTAAAAACTTGTCTTAATAAAGTATGTAAGTTTATTAATTGCATTATAGCTAATTTTTCATTGTTTGATTTTTTCTTTCAGCTTGTGGTCTTAGACTCACGTGCAGGCTGAGCCCAATGTTTTATAAACTTTGATGTTTTGGGTTAATCTTTAAGACTGCTGCCTGGATATCCCTACGATTAAAATTAATTTGTAATTATAAATTTAATTAAAACAGCAAAATATATTAAAAAGCTTTCAAAGCATACGAACTATAAACATGGGTAATAAAGCATTAAAAAATACTAAGCTTTAAGTTCTTGTCTCTTGGTAATGTTCATTATCTAAAAATTTTCGTTAACAATATTTAATTCCAGAAAGTTATGGGTCTACACTTTTAAGAATCTTTTCTATATAGATATGTCTATATTAATTCATATTGATATCACCGACAGATCTCTCTACGTCCCCTCTAAGAGGCTCGTGGCGTACCCGTAGTTAGGGTGACTAGGCCTTATTCAAGTACGCTCGATGACTGCGGGTTGGTTGACTTCACACATATCTTTGAATTTCTTCGCCGATATGTGCAGGTTGCATCACAATGTTTTCCTTCGCCGTAAGAACATCGGGCAAATTATCTATATCTATACATGTAATAAAATTGGAATGTCTGTTTGTAATATCAAATGGAAAATTCCAGATTTCTGGAAGATGATGTATTTGCGTTGCTGATGACGAAAATAGTTTAGAACATTTAAAATTTTTAGGTATGTCTGTCTATTCCGCCTGTCAGTCCGCGTTTGTTCCGAGTAATCTCCGAAACGGCTTGACCGATTTTGATCGTACTTTCACTTAAGGGTAGATGACATAGACTGGGATCTAATAGGCTACTTTTTATCTTAATATTGCGTGGACGAAGTCGCGGGATACAGCTAGTATACATACGAAATTCGAAAATAGGAAATTATGTAAATAGATACTTCTATATTATGTCTAACCTGGTGAATTCGCTGCTATCCCTTGGTTCTGTCAGAAATGATCTAAAACTGACATGGAAATAGAAAATTGCATAAAACGAGGAGCTAGAAAGCTATGATAATTTATTTTAATTTACACGAGTATGTCCGGTAGGACTAGCTTGTATAACTTTTCGGTCCATATATATTTTAATAATTCCGATTAAGATAATACATAAGTTTGCTTTTCGTTTTCATAAAATCACTTACGTATTTTGAATTGAATTATTAACGAATGTAACATAAATGTTTAAAATGTAGACATTTTTAGTTTTGGTATTCTACAATTGGATATACTTCTACTCGAAGTCAATCTACTGCATTACGTAACGGGGTGGGATATTTCTTAGTTAAACTATTACATTCCATCCTTTAATAATATTTGTTAAAATTTTTTACATTTCTCACTTCACAAATGAACACGTGATTTATTGATTTTTATAGTGTAAAGTAATATTACTTTGTTTTTGATGCCGCGTACAGCGGTAAGGCAGAATGCGGCCGTGAGACACGAGTGGCGGGCGGTGGTCGCTGCCGCAGTCGCGAATTGCTACTGACGCCGACGTCGCCGGCGCATACGCACGCTCTAAATATAACCTTCTACATTTTCATATTTATTACTAACAACATTTTCATATGATTGGTAAAAACATCTACTCAATGTGTCGGTTTGATCTTCGCCTGAAATGTTTCTTGGCAAATCATACCAAACGGTTCAGTGACTGACTAATTTAATATTTTAAAATACATAATTGCAAAATTCCATTTTGATGAATCAACTGATTTTGTATTGGTAATTTCAATGTGAAATGATTAAAAGCTGTAAAATTCAAAATATGGCAGTTCTAAGCTCAGTGACAATGTTAGATTTCAATTTAATCACTGTTACCGGTTGCCATGGATGTATTACTAGAACAGGATAGAGCTCTTGTCGAAAAATTGTAGGCGAGCGAGACCTCAATACCTGTACTATTTTTCCATCTCTGGCCATGGTGACTATATTGAAATGTGCATTTTATGCAAATCGCTAGAGAATCGTTTGAGAGATTGAGAGGTAAGAAATATCATTTGAGAGTTCTTACTTTTAGTGTAAAAAATATTTGAAATCGATAATCGAGTAAAATTTGATTAATGATTCTCTCAATCATTCTCAGGATTTTTAGAATTGGATAGTCATGCATGGTCACCGTAATTCCTCACTAACAAATTCTGTTTAAAACTATTACCTCGATAATACTTGCTTCCGCAAGCCTCCACGACACAAGTTCTCGCCATTTTAACAAGGGAATTTTAAAAATATCACGGTTTTCAAAAATGTCGCCATTGATGTACGATTAGACAATGCCATGCGGTGTTGTCAGTTCAGGTGTTCGAATTTCAAACAAATAAAAGAAAACCTGCACGCCAATCGCAAAATTTATGCGTTAATAAAGTTTTACATGTAATAACAAATAAAATTGCTTTTACATATCGGTAATAAATTATTATTAATATCTTATTACATTACATTAATTGCCTATTTTTGTACAAACAACAAAAGGATTGATATCTGGCAACTCTAAATCACTGTTAGAATGGGAAAAGGTAGACAAATGTAGCCCTCTCACTCCTTTTAATTTCATTTTGCGTGCAACAAGACTCTTACGCCCTAAGCATAAGGTTTTATTTTCTTTATTTTAACTGCAAGAGGTTCGGATAGAACACACTCCTGTTATATTATTACCTCATGCCGGTTGCTTATAGCGTCCAGAGATGACACCGATCAATATAAACGCATTGCATATGAATTTATATGGAAAGTTTTAATTTGTTGACTCATTCCTTTCCTATAACATGCCTATATATATGTAATTACTAAACTAACGTTAGTAAATAGGTTATGGTTTAGCATTTTTACTCCATTACCCGGTAAAAATATAAATAATCTACCATATTCGGTACCCTCAAATGGAGAGCTAAAACTTCATAGATATCTTTTGATATTCTTCTTTCTTTCTGACCTTGAAACAAAATCGTCTCCAAGTCTGAGCAGTTTTTATCGCCATTTTATTAATGCTTGTTTAAAAAAGAAATAACATCCATGTCTATGTTTTCTTAGTATTCTATATCAGCTAATGACGTCCACGGAGAAATTTAAATTAGACGTCCATGCGCTTGAAAATAAATCTTCCGCGCTCATGCAAACAGCGACTTCTGAACTACTTAAAAATGTATCCCGGAGTATAGGTTCTATGCTTTAATATATACTGCGAGGTAAGACATTGTTGTCACTGTTTGTCTTAAAAAGGCATTTACAGCTTCAACGGGTTTGAGGTGGCCGAGCGCAGATGACGCTTAGTATAAACCTCGATTAAGAGTTACTAAGCTCGAAGGCTTTTTTTAGTTTCGATCCGAAAGTACTCCTTTAGGAGCCACAGCGCTCGGTTGTTACTTCGTTATCATCACTGGTTTGGGATGCCGCCGAGATCTTGCGTCCCTTTGGCGGACTCTATAATGCTGGGTTTCTGAAGTTTTCATTTATTTTATCGTTAACTATTAATTAGTGTTAAGATGTCCTAAGTTTCCATGTGGTTAAACCCAAGTTACGTAGTTCTGAAACGCATTTTATGAAGTTGTCAAATCAAAAAGCACTAACAAACGGTTAAATGTAGCTGGAAAACCAGTCATAAGCAAAATATATTTTACCCTATTTTAGTATCGGAAGAGAAAGACAAGATTATATGTGTCTTTACTCAGTAGACATACATTGGTGGCTAGTGAGTGACAAATCTCCAAACGAACGCACAGGTAAGTAATTATACCGTAGTACTTAAATATTTTTAAGTTACTATATTTATTTGTTGATGATTGCTAAATCAGGTAACTTCCTTTCGATTTCCTCTAATTCCTATTAATCCAGAAAATGGCAGACACGGACGCTGGACTTCCGACCCCTCGGGTGTCAGTTGAAACACAGAACATACTTCAAGAATGTCTCCTTTATCACAATAATATACAACCCTAGCTCATTCGGTTAAACGTGTAATTAACACATGAAAGTAGCAGGATGTTGTTCTCTCATATAAACTTAGATTAACAAACATAATGTATTATCTTATTCTTGAGCGTTAACACGTAACTTAAATTTTGCATACGTAACTTTAGGCAAGCAAACTAAAACCCTTTTACTTCATCAACGCTAATCTAAAAGCAGCTGTTGTCGTGTTGTTTCGTTTGCATAATTATTACACAATCAATAATTATTTTTGTACCGTATCTGTGTCGCGTCAGTTGCATGGTGAATTTAGAACATCGGTGACGTCTGCCGGTACGCGCCGGCTTGATTCCTTGCCAAAACGATATTTCTGCTAAGAATAGTACTCTCAATAAATCAATTATGAATGACCGATGAAGTGAATACACTTAATCGTGTACTGCCTATAGTCCATAGTCTGTCCACGTGACGCACAAAAATCTTTAATAATTATTTTGTCTTCCTTTTCAGCGATATCAAGTAATAAATAGATTACTTCTATTTGTTTTGGTTACCGGTTTCATTGTGATCATTCGATTTACATTCAATCTCGATTGTCAATTATGTGTTTAATCCGACCCTTTTCTGTTTTTTTTTATTCACCCAACAGATATCACGTCTTTTTTTCACATGCTTTTACTATTTTTTTCGATTTATTTATAGATTCTAGTGTTTGTGCTATGTACACAGTTTGCGCTTTCAGATAACCTGGTGTTGCCAACGCAAGTTTAAAGGTCAGATGTACACGCTCCCCCGAACGCTTATATAACGGGAAGATTGGACTTACTATAACCTACAAACTAGTCTACAGGACCTCTTGTCAAGTTCTAATGAATATGCATATAGTTTGGAGGTAATTATACAATAGGAGTGTGTTCTATCTTTACCTCTTGCAGTTAAAATAAAGAAAATAAAACCTTATGCTTAGGTCGTAAGAGTCTTTAGCACGCAAAATGAAATTGAAACGATTGAGAGGGCTACATGTGTCTACTATTTCCCTTTCTAACAGTTACTTAGAGTCGTCAGATATCAGTTCTTTCGTTGTTTGTAGAAAAATAGACAATTGATGTCATGTAATGCAGTAAAAACACATAATTTTTTGAAATGTTAATAATAATTTATTACCGACATGTCAAAGTAATGTTATTTGTTTCTACATGTAAAACTTTATTAACGCTAAAAAAATGCGATTGGCGTGAAGGGTTTTCTTTCATTCGTTTGAAATTCGAATACCTGAACTGACGACACCGCATGACATCGCCCCATCGGACTTCAATGGCTTTTAAATCCGTAATATTTTTAAAATTCCCTTGTTAAAATGGTGAGAACTTGTGCCGTGTAGGCTTGCGAAAGCGAGTATTATCCTGATTGTGGTTTATCTTTTCATAGGTAATAATTTTAAACATAATTTGTTAGTGAATTACGGTGACCATGCATGACTATCCAATCCTAGAAATCCTAAGAATGATTGAGAGAATCATCAATCAAATTTTACTCGATTATCGATTTCAAAATTTTAAATACTTTTTACAGAAAAAGTAAGAACTCTCAAACGATAGTTCTTTCCTCTCAATCTCTCAAACGACTTGCATAAAAGAAGTAAAAAAAATGAAGTGTGAGGGCCAAGTTCACGCTAAAAATTGAAATTGCTTTTACGGAGAAAGTAGGAACTATCAAACGAAAGTTCCTTTCTCTCAAACCCCTTCTAACGATTCTCAAACGATTTGCATAAAAAAAGTAAAAAAACAAAGATCGTGAGGAGGTCAACTTCACGGAGGTGTCCATCTGCATGTCGTGTCCCACAAGTACCACTAGGTAAGTAGTATATGACGCGTGTCTGAAAAGAAAGCAAAAACGGAAAGTGTGTAGTGCCGCATAGAGCAAGTTTATCATTAGCACCTTTGATTAAAATCCATCTGAAGCAATGATCTGCTGACGTCAGGTCACAAATATTTTTTATAATTATTGTCCTAACATCATATTTCAATATGGTCACCATGGCCAGAGATGGAAAAAATGGTACAGGTATTGAGGTCTCGCATGCCGTCAATTTTTCGACAAGAGCTCTATCCTGTTCTAGTAATACATCCATGGTATACAGTTATCACACTCGAATGTGTTTTGTGAATGCCAGTTTTGTAAATGCAAATGAAGTGGTGATGTGTGTAGTGCTGATGTTAAATTCTATTTAGACAAATTGTCTGGATAAATACATAGGCAATTTGGTAAGTAAGTAGTAACGTAACATAAGTTTACAGTTTGAAGTCTAATGAAGCATAAGTATTCATAATTATATTTTCGGTTGGACATACATGTAGGCGACTGTAGATGACATAACTTTGCAGTCAGACAGCGTAATGTTTTCATTACAGTCGTGTAAAGGTTTACTTAGTGAAAGCCAAAGACATTAAATAAATCTATAGACTGGACAAAGGGAACAACATTTTATCACCGGTAACTTCTTTGAAAGGTTCTATGTTAGTTGTCTAGTTTA